AGCAGCCACGACACACTCAGAGATTTCATCTTTTTTTTTTACCAATTTTATTTTCTAATGTTAAGGTTCTCACCAGACCAGTGCTTCCAGGGGCCCTGACACTGTTACTTTTTACCCTGATGGGCAATTTATCGCAGCAACACAATAAAAAAAACACATACCCCAAACTGGTTAAAAACAACACATGGGGTATCGAGGAACAATGGTATTCTTGTACCATTGTTGTTGTTTTTCTTGAGTTGCTCCTGTACTTTTGAAATCATCAACCATGTGAATAGTGGCCATATGAAGGCTCCTTCTCTGCTAAAAAAAATAAAATTCTGGTGAGAACCCTGCATGTGATGCGTGGTTGATTGAGATAAGATAAGAAAAGATAAGGTAGACTTTATTGATCTCATAATGGATAAATATACACGTCACATTTGGCATTGATAGAATCACTGTGTGTTTGCTAGAAGGGGTGGTAAATCCACTGATTGCTAACTTCATCTGCAGTCCGTTCATTGCGTGCGGGGCCTTTGATGTGACCATGGGCCGATCACAGTGCAACACGGCAGGACTGAATAAGTGAGCTAATGTGTTTCTTTCATACGATCTTTGATCAGCACTGAGCTCTCACATGAGACACAGGGGTCATAGATTCTCACTGTACCAGACACACGCATGCTATGGCTTCTCTAAATGCAAATATGTAATTTATGTATATATCTTCTAACTACTACAACCATTGTCGTTTTACAGAAGAACCCAGTGCCGTGAGCACTTAGTCGCAACATTATAAACTAAAATTACACAGAGCGTGGCTGTAAGCTGTAAAATAACTTACATTAAGAATACTTTGTTCTCTGGCTAATTTAATCTTCTTTCCAAGTCTCCTTTTGCCCTCTTGTTCCTTATTAATTTTTATGTGTCTGACCTCAGGACGGGGCATGAGTATACAGATATATTACTGTAATTATCTCATTTTACAGTGCCATTAAACGTCCGGGAAATCCAGAGTTATTGCATTAATACAATAAAGAGGGTTTTGGCCAGAGGAACGATAACTTCATACTTGGCCACTATCTATAACATACTTTCAATAGATTTTTGCTTTGTTGACAAATTAGTTAAAGACCCGCGATGTGGTGATATTTAGAACATTGCTAATCACGAAAAAAAACTTTACCGTTGTGTCATTACTAATCATTTTGTTTGTGTTATGGTTTTTCTTGAGTATGTTTTCAGGGCCATAGATCGACACGATTGTTGAGATGATATTCAAGCCAGTAGGAATCACAAGCCAGTTTATTGGTGCCATTCCCAAGCCCTGATGAACAAGCAGGGTTGCCATGGGTTTCAAAAGCAAAGATAAAATAATGGAGAAGCTTGTTTAATGGTAGCTTATACATCCTGATTCCTGGAAGGCACGAGTTTGGACTGATGTACAGTGAATTTCCATTTCAAGCCAGTGCCAAATCACAGCATGCATTTTAACCCCAATATCTCTTATTTTTACTTCATAGTACTAAACGTATTTGCAGGGCTGTAGTTTAACGTTTGGAATAATATTTAAACCAGTAGGAGATCGCAAGCCAGTTTATTGGTACCATTCCCAAGCCTCAATAGACACACATTTGGGAGCAAGTCAAAATCAAACCAGTGCCAAATACAGCATGCATGTTACTGTCCTTTTCAATCCCATAATCTCTCTTTTTTAAACTTTATTTGGACAGTAACTTGCCACAGCTAAAATAACTCCATACTGAAAGAGCGTGTAACTGGAATGTACAGATGTTAATTGAGCTGAATATTGTTTACAATTCTATAAGATTATTTATTAAAGTTAATGTTAATGTGATTTTTTTATTATTACATGCTGCCCATTACAGCATTTGATTTTTACCATTTTTATCACATTTGTATTTCTTTACTTGCACCATAAGGGTTGGATGTGTTTGCAAAGCTGTAGTTTGACTTGCCTATTGGAATATTATCAAAACCATTAGCATTCCACAACCCAGCGTTTACGTTGTCTTCATGTTCTTGGAGTTTGTTTCAGTTGAAGGACAGGTGGCAATTTTCCTCCAAGGGAAAGCAATGGTTTTTGAAAGAAACGCGGCAAGAGCTCTGCTGTGTGCTATCCGCTGCACACTGGAGCAGTCTTGCACAGTTATTCTAAGGTAGTTTCACTGCAGATGGCAAATAAAACTGAATCTTGACTGTTGTTGCAGATCATTGTTATTAGTTAGATTCACAAACCTGCCATAGTATTAATAATGAGAAGCCGAACACACTGGCACAACACCATCCATTCAATCACTCATTACATTCATACCTATTGTACACTGTTTTTAGTGGCTGGGGAAACTGGAGCATCCGGAGGAAACCTACGCAGGCACAGGGAGAACATGTAACTCCACTTAGATAGTTTTGCTCCGACCAGGATTCGAACCCAGGAACTTCTTACTGGGAGCCTGCTGACCACTCAACCACCTTGTCGCCCGAAGCCTCAACATACACACTTTTGGGAACATGTCAAAATCAAACAACATCAAGAATTTTTCTGTGTTTTTTTACCTTCACAATCTACTTATTTTTCTCCGATTTTTTTTTCCTATTTATTCTTAGTTCTGTCCCAATAGATGGAGATGTGAAATAATGAAACTCACTTTGTTGTGGGGGGACAATGCACTTCACCAGATGGGCCACGGCTGCACAGACCCCGATGTATGCAAATCTCCCATACAAAGCAGCCCAGGATGTTTTCAATATAACAGAACAGCCTCGGGCCTAGTTTTAATCCCTCTTACCCATCGCCAATGCACTGTTTCATCCAGTCAAACGCCTTAAGCGCTATGTCAACTTGGACATCTGGCCACATAACTGAACCAAAAACCCAGCGTACGTGTGTGTGTTTGGGGAACTTACTATTTACTGATGAAGTGTGGATGAGAGATAAAGGTGATTCGGTGGAAGTCGAGTTAAAAAAACAGTCTTCACTTTTTTACTTGACATTGAAATATAAATAAAACACAGCTATGAAAAAAACACACGGTAAAACAGCAGCAGTATGGGAATGGGAAATTGTGTGTCCTTTTCTTTGCGACAATTATGTGGAGGAGTAAATGCAATTGTATGATGAACTACACCACAATAATTAGAATAACTAAAGGTTAGATTTAAGTACGTATGTATCGTGATTTGACTGTAATTCCACTATAAAAATGTCATATGTCAATCGAACAAGCAACTATTGTGTTTTTTCAGCTTATGTTCAATACAAATTTTCTTCCCTCAAGCAGAAAATGCATTTGTTATCGTATTCAAGGTAAAACAGGACCATGTATGCTTGTATCAAGGGCAAAAAAAGAAGAAAAAAAAGAAAAGAAAATATTCTGTATGCTCACGTCTGATGAACACTATTTATCTTAAGATTTGACATTTTAAAGGAAAATTGTTTGCTTCCCTTATCAAAAATAGACCTGGAGTTGTTTTTAGTTCTTTTGACACTAATATGTGTAACTACTGGCACAAATCGCCCCAAACTAATCCTACCGCCCCTGGTAACTTAAACCTGGTACCTTTTATGAGAAATCCTAAATCAAAATTGCTGAATGGACAGAGCTGTTGTCTTTTAAAACTACATTTTTGCCTCCAAATGTTATAAATACCTCCAGTCAAAAGATGTTCTCCACAACTGGTTTCCATGACAGTTATGTTTAGCAGAATGTTTGTCCCACTTCTACCACTAGATGGAGATGTTTCAATACTCAGGATATTTTCTTTATACTTTATACACGTTTATCCAATTTCTTCCCTCATCAAAGTATATTTCACAATCTGATAAATGAAGTACATATTCTCACCCTCAAATTGAATCAGCAAAAGGAACTACACACTATTTCTCCTCTCTTTACGAGTCGCGTCATCTGTGTTTTGTTGAATAAGCGTCAGTGTCTGGAGCGGCTTCCACAGTGTGACATGCAGCAGACAGATGATTGTAGCGATTCAACTTCCCCAGAGTGACATGGAACTTATGCGTTTGATGTCACTCCATAGTCTGGTCCAAAGACGACCATTTTCACAAAGTGTATGGGATTTGGATACAGCATTTATGCAGTCAGGAGAACATGTATATTGTGACATCTTTACTGTGTTATTATGCGTTGTCTAGTTTGAATTACGTTTTATGATTAATTACTAATACTGCTATGTTTTGGTAAATAGGCAACATATATTTCTATAACCAACCAAGGGTATCTGAGCTGAAGTGTTATCATTTTTACTTTCTACTTTTGTTTTGCATTATCTTTGGCAATTATCTCGGCTCTCTTGCCTGTTTTTATCTATTTTCGACACATGCACAAAATCTACAAGAAAATTAATGGGGGAAAAAGTAGACATTTTTTCTATGGTCGAAATTCTCTTGAAGCATGTGTGTGTTTGTATTTATTCCTGGGTTTAGACTTTTATGAATCTTTTTATGCCACTATTCCAATTTTTTTTTCAACTCAATTTATTTTGTATCAATTTTTTCTTGTACTTTTATAGCTTGTTTATTTCTGTACTTTTTAGCTTGTTTTCTTGACATACTGTCTGGTGCAAATTACCAATGTCCATACATGTTAATAAACTATTGAACTGTGTATTAATGTTACTAATACTGTGGTCATATAGACATGGCCACTGGTCTACTTGACCAAACGCAATCATAGTAAAAAATACTAATAACAATGTGTTACCAGTCTGAACTGTGGTACTCTGGAAAGTGGCACAGGCTTATTGTCATTATGTTGTGAACCACAAGCCTGTAATTAAATGAATATGGCTGATGTAATATTTAGCCAGTGTTTAAAACCAAAATGCTCTGATTGGGTTAATTGTGTTGGAATACCCACCATCATACGTCTTCCTGGACTAACCTGCATCACGAAATCTCTACCCTCTCTCGTCACAGGTGGAAAATATGTGCCACGGCCGCTTGCTTCACAAACCCTTAACTTGTTTTGCTTTTTTTCTCACTTGTTTTTCTCACCCTCGCCCTCTAGGAACCGGCCGAGACAAGAGACGCAAACACACAGACCTTCGCACACTTCCTCGCCGTCCACCACTACCACCACCACCACCACCGGGCCCTGATTTCTGCAGTTGTGACATGCGAGGGGCGCTACACCTGGATCCACATGGCAGCCTTCAGTGTGTAGGTGCCGATAGGTGAGGTGGGGGATGTGAGGAAAAGCTAACACTCCTCAGGGGCATCACTTTGTTCCTGGACACACCGCAAGTCCAGTTCAGACGCTTGTGGCTGTATTGCACGTCCCTATTGACCTACATGATACAGAACACGTGACCAGACACAGTGCTTGATGTTCTGACAAGTAAAAGGTGGAATAAATTAGACGTTGAAGTGCAAGGTGTAAGGAAAGGGTGTTGAGAAAGATAGACTGTTTTTAGCAATCAATCAGTGGAATGATCAATAATAAATGGGAAAATTACATGGTGCTTTTCGGCCTTTCCGTGGCATTCAATCTATTCACACACGTCTGCTCAAACATTGGGTTTGAGGTAAGTTTAGTGCTTTGCCCAAGGACACACTGCCAGTTCAGTCAATCTCAACCAAAGATGTTAAAGTTAAGAGCAGGATTCGAACTGCAAACTGAGGTACTGCCACCGCTTTGCAACTTTGTGCCTTAATTAAGACCACGGCATGTTGGATTTTGATTTCAATAAAACCCACTACCTCAAGATGAAAGTGTTGTTCAGTCACCTCTTACCTCATTGGTTTATCCATAAATCTTTTTCTTAAGTAGAAAATATTTGGATATGGTTCAACTAATTCTAATTTTAGGCCCAAATATACACAAATAATGAATCAAATGTGTTTGGTCACAGTTAGGGTTGCAACAATTGATTGATTGATATTTGTGTGCAATCAATTGTCAAAATAATAATTGTTACTACTCATTTGTGTAAAGATGTTTTATTGAACAATGGCGTTAAAATGTACTGGAATCCCCCAAAATGTTCACAAGTTAATTTACACATTTTAACAAACCTTATATGTATCCAAAATGTCAGAAAATCTCCTCTACTTCTTTACTGCTTTTTTATGTTTAAAGAAGCACATTATTTGGCATTAAAATATTTAATGGATTTGGCTTATTTCTATGAATTCTACAATCAAAGCAAACTTTTTAACTTTTATTAACAACATATTTTAGTCCTGCGTTAAAACATGATCCTCAGTGTTAAGGGCAGTACATTAAATGTAGAGAAACATAAGAACATGTTTGTGATCCATCTCTCGCTGTATGGGCAATCGGTGAGCATATTCCTCTTGTCCATGTTTGTCTTTGGCATGAGAGCGAGAGCCCGCAGCTCGAGTCCGTGGTGTGCGCCGCTGTGTTGTTGCAGTGCGTTCAAACCTGGGGCCATGCGGTGTGTTTGGGACTGTGTTTGTGTGCAGAGCGGAGGGGGCAGAGTGTAGGTGAGTGCAGGAGACAGCGCTGTCAGGTCCACAGCTGGTTTGTGGAGCTGCGGGGCTTCGGCCGGAGCAATGACACTTGCCATCACTGTAGCACAGGGCCTCGGGTGTACACACAACCATATACTATACACACACATGTACTTGTACTTTACATGGCTGCCCTCACCCGAAACACCACATCACACCACCTGGGCAAGTCTTGTCAGATATTTTTTTTTCCCTTTTTGGCTCATTGAAGGTGTGAACAACATCACAGACCAGATTGCCTGGCAATAGACTGACCATCATCTTGTAAGGAAGGAGTGGGGGTAGGTTGAGAGGAACACTGAGTGAGAGAAATAACAAGAGGAAAGTATACATGAGAATAGATTTCTTTTTCTTGGCGTTGCTGAAGGGCAGAGAGGCGAATGCTGGCTTGTCTCCCTGCATCACACAGCACTAGCTCCTTCTACAGCATTACAATATTACGGCCACTCCAAGGCTATTATTAATGATAGGAATTGACGTGGACTATTAGCGCCATGGTCTCCTCCTGCGTCAAGCCGAGGAGATGGTGTTCCCGTCTTTTGGACTCATTTAGAGACGCACTTCACAGAAAGCGTCCAGAGCTGTGTTCGTGTCTGTGGGGACAAGAGCCTCGGGCAATACCCCTCCCCACCACCACACAACAGCCTCGACCCCCTCCTCCACCAGCCCTGCTCGTCCCGTGCCCAACAAGGTGGAAGTGATGGCAATTTCTTTAGGGTATACGCAATGTTAGTTTTGATTTTTTTTTTTACACGTTACAAATTACACCAACAATGCATGAGGTAAGGGCATCTCTTTGGTGTCCATCAACAACAAGCGTGTTTGAATTTGAACGGAAAAGCAGGTAGCTGGTGTATTGAGAAACCTTGTAGACATTTTGGGGCGAGTCAATTATATAAATAAAGTAAACAGTCTGACAGCTCAAATGAAAGCGTGTTGTGACTACGCCTGTCAGGAGCATTCAGTCCAAAGTTTACAAATGCTTCGGCCCCTCGCTCCCCGACCTCGGTGGGTGTGTGTGTGTGTGTGTGTTCGTCTGCACGCATGTTTCACCGCACACCGATCAACTTCTGCTAAATACTAATTACTGCATACTTAGTGCGGTTGGTGCCCTTTCTATTGGGTCCCTTTAGTATAAACATTCATTATGGCCCTTTTTACTCCTTTGTAGCTCCATCATCATTATTCCACTGCATCCCCTGAGGAGGCGGTGCGGCACGCAGACCGCAGACCAGGGCTAAGGGGAGAAAACAGGGACAGAAACCACAGCGTTAGGACCTGGGAATGCACACAAGTGATATTTGTGAGGAGAGATCAAAAAGCATTTACCTTTAGATGTTTGCCTGATATGAATATTCAACATCCTTATTGAAATCTAATTTGGGTCTCCTTGTCTCCGGGGTCTTTTCATCAGTGCCTGTTGCCCGAGGCCAGAGCTGATTGACAGCCAAACTTTAGTAAAGAGCAGGCGGGTAAAAAGAGGGGATCTGGTGGTGTGAGAGATGTGAGTGTGTTGAAGCCAGAGAGTGAGAGGAGAGGGGGGCGTTTAACCTCCTCATGCGCATACACAAACAGACAACTACCTCCAAACACGACATTATTATTCACATTGTACTGAGATTGTAAGAATGATAGAATACATAAATAATACGCAGAGAGGAAAGACAAAGGGCTCACGGAGGCTGAAAAAGATGGCGGCTGTGAGATGGAAACCCCCTCGCTCACTGTCTCGCTGACAATGGGGCCGTGACATTTGTAAGCGTTGCCTATTGGGAGCTGTCCATGAAGCTAAGGAGAGCTCCAGCAACATGTGGACCCATGCAATGACATATTCACTGAACTTGTTTGTGATTTTGATTTTAACTTCTGTGCAGGATTTGGTATCTTTGTTATCCTGGACCTGTGAATGTTCTTGTTTATGTTTTTGAAAATGTATTTGAAGATATATACAAGGAAAATAAGGCTGAGGAAATAAAAAAAGTCATTCATAAAGTATCATCAGATTTTATTAATTCATTCAAATACTTCTTCTATGCTGTGATGCTATTCCTAGCTTTACTAATTGTAATCACATAAGAAGACATTGATACATTTTAAACTATATCAGAATGATTCATTTAAAACAGTACTCCCATTAAAATTATTTTGAATTCAAATTGAGTATAGTTTCTTGTCATTTATTGTCCAAAGAGACAAAAAGATTATTTATTCAATAGTATTAAAAAATGTGGTATTTTGCAAATAAGTTAGACTACTTAATGTCATAATTATCATATTATAATTACAATAACTTCAATCACTCAAAGTTGCAGCAAATATTTGATTTGATTTATTTTGGCGAGTTAGCATAACACACAGCAAATATACTGCAACCATTTGGTGCATGACACAAAACAGCTTTTGATATTAAAATAGAAAGATGTTTTGTACATGTAGCTATCTATTGCTACCTATTTTTTTTCTTTTACTATTATTATTATATTATTATCATTTAGATAATTAACTTTGAATCTTCCTACATATGTATTTGGCGCAACTGTTTATTTGTTCTTTCAGTAAACAGAGAATAACCGCCTCGCTCAGCTGGGAGGTCTGGTTTGGAGCGATGGAGTGTATTCGTACTTGTTTGCTGGCTTATATAATGGTAAATACTGAAAATCTGCGCTGCATTTCAAAGGGCCATTTATGAAAAGTGAAAGTGGTGTGGAGACTGAGAAAGCATCGATAAAGGCTGTTGTCTTTTATATCTAACAGTAAATTATATCAATAGCTATTATAATTATCACAACTGTTGATTTTTGTTTTGTCTGTCGGTATGTTTTAAACTGGACCTAAAGGATGTAATAAACTTTGATTTAAATAGAATAAACACATTTGAAAGGTTACAATTTTGCCCTTTAGTAAGGAGTTTTCCAGATCTATTTCAGTGCCATGCAAATAACATTTCACCCACTTCTTGAGCAAATCCTTTCAAACGTCCAGACAGTTGCAAAATATGGCCAAGATTGTATATAGAGGAAAGCAACTTTTTGATACATGTTCAAGATTTAATTTCTGGTTTTGCCAAAGAACTCTCGAAAACTGAAGTCAAAGATTATATTGTTGATAATATTCAAAAATTATAATAGACAATTCTTTGATAAGTCATTTTCAATCATGATTCTGGAAATTATTCTGAGTCGCAATAACAGCCGACTCGGGACCTGTTCTCCGACACAGACAAAACAAAATGCATTGTACATATGATGTGAAGAGATGTAGAAATTTAGTGCACGTTTGTGTTTGTTCTCAGCAGCTCTTGTTTCCAAATGCACATGACGTGAGAGAGAACTGTTAAGAAATCTCAAAAATGTGCCACATCCCTTCAAGCTTTTGTGGACTTTTTTCTAACAATACACCTTTTATTAACTGACTTGTGTTTTCTGCAGTAAACAAATTTCCACAACTGCACACAACACTTTTTACTGGATGTTTTGATTAATTGAAGAAAATTATGAAAATGTGGAAAAATGCTTGGTTACTTAGATTTTGCAGCTGTGATGACTACAGAAAACCGTCCAGATAATAAGATTTTTTTTCTTCAAACATTTACCCTCAGACCTAGTCCTCAATAATCAATAAAAATAATATATTATATGTATACAGCGCCGTTCTGGGCACTTACAAAAGGTTATATGCATCGCGAAACGAAACAGTTTTTAACCTGGATTTAAACAAGAAGAAGCCTGTCTCACATTTTCAGGAAGAGTGGTCCACATTTTAGCGTCCTAAACCCTTCATAAACCCTTTAAGTCCTCAAAAATGTCAACATGAAATTGTTCTTGCTTTATTTCTTTAGTTTTGACTAATGATTGGGGAAATCAAGACACTAAAATAACTAATGTATACATACTATATATACAGTATATACAGGTCAAATCTCAGACTATGCCATGAGCCAGCATACAGTACATATACACACATACACAAAAAGTTACAAAATGACTCAAATGAACGCAAGCTCAGAGGAGAGTGTTGATTCCTCATCTGTCTATTGGGCTGATAGTTTCATGTTTTTATTGCGCAGGTGTGGCCTGTCCCTGTGGGTTCTATTAAAACGATGCCCCTCTCAAATACAGCTCATTTTGCTCTTTCCATTTAACATGGGCCATATGTCTGACAGGAGGCACACAGCTGATGGGGTTTAATGACACAAATCAACATATTCACTTGAGGGAAGGGTTTTTTCTGTGTGTGCATGTGTTTAAAATGGTCAGATAAATGTTGATCAGTTTGGCAAATAAGCAAACAAAATCATAAATGCTCAGGGACATATTTCTATTGGCTTTTTCTTCTGATCAATGAATGTTTTTGTTCTTTGACTCTAATCTGCTGTGGGCAAATCACACATTTTGTGAAGTCTATCAGGTGATCTTGTAAATATTATTTGAAATTTTGGTGCTCAAATTGCTCAAAAATAGCAATCATAGTCCTCTGTCATGACTCTGAAAAGGTTTGATTCTCTGATCTGTTCATCAACTTAAATTGAAAGTAATTTTTTATTAGATTCAGTTTTATTTGAACTATTTGTTGGGGATTTTTTTCAATTTCATTCAATTAAGTTTATTTTTGTTCAGCCCTAAATCACAACAGAAGTCGTCTTGCAGGACTTTACGAAATTGACGAATCCTCAACTAAATCTCAGAGAATCAAGCAGTTCGAACACAAGAAATACAATAATGGAGTCGTAGGTCCATAGAGGGTGAATGACCAATATCCATAAATGTTAATAAATGGTCCTTGAATCTTAGCTGACCATTATTTTAAAATTGAATGTCTTCTTTTTAGATTTGCCTCGCTTGTTGGACAATATAAAACTGTTGGACCTATTGAACAACAAACTTTCTGGGTGGAGTTTGCATGTTCTCCCCGTGTCTGCTTAAGATTCCTCTGGGTACTCCGGTTTCCCTTACCACTAAAAACATGTACAATAGGTCTGCCATGCGCCTCCTGTACTGGCGACCTATCTCTGTGTGGAGTGAGGACAAATGCCCACAATTGTAAACCGCTTTGTGACTCTGGTCAGTGAAAGGTGGTATAGAAATGACTTACTTACTTAAATGATTATGTTTGATAATGTAAAGTTTTGTTCCAGACTCTCATATTACTAGACTAGAGTTGGTTCACATGTAGAATGTCCAAGATCAGTACAAAACTCTTTGAAATGAAAAGCCTTATACGTATTTGAATTCCCTACTGTACAATACAAAAGTACTATTGTCTTGTCTGTCTTGTGAGACACTTTGTACCACATCGCTCACTTTGAATACATTTGAACTAAATTGGAGTATTTGTAGGCTAACAGGCAGAACGCAATTAGCACATAAACTTGTCATTGGTCCCATATCTATAGTTCCTCTGTGGGACACACTGATCTATTACTTCTCAGTGATTAATCCGCTCCAACAATGACCACTCTTAAAGTAGGCTCATATTCAAAGGTATATCCCTCAACTAAAGCCGCACTAATTAGCATTCAGATGTGGGAGTGCACCAAGGGGCAGCACCCACCAGAGGAAGGACAGAGGAGGCGAGGCGACACCCTAAAATGTCATTAACTTGATGTTAATTACTAATTAATGGGTCTATTTCATTTACACGTATCTCTGCCTTTTTGATGGCTTTTACTGGGTTAGACTGGAGCCAGCTGACAACTTGGTGGGGGATGGTCTTTGCTGCGCTACCCCTTTTTTTCTAGTTTCATTTCTGCTAATTAAATACTGGACCACTCATCATGATTATATCTGCTTTTACAACGCCATTATTGCCACAAGAGCCTCTCCAGCCAATGCCACCTATTTAACAGTGGTCCTTAATGTCTACTGTACATCCAAGGCCACTTCTGCCATGACTTTTATCTGACCTGGTATTTTTTCATCACCTAAAATCAAACTGGTTGAAGGGTAACAGGGTCGTTCAAAGCCTATTTCACAAAACTATATTTTCCCCAATAGTTTAGTGCTTCCATGTAATACTGTTTACACAAAGCATGTTTGAATTCACGTTTAGATTAGAAATGAACTTGAAACTTACCATGGATTTGAAGCATTTCCAGCATCTACAGCCAGTTATGCTAGTTAAGAAACATAGCTACTGCTAATTTTGTATATATTGTGTGATCCCTGTGTGCTCTTACTACTGTCCTGTATGTGCGCTGCAACAATGAAATTTCCCCACTGTGGGACGAATACAGGAACTCTTATCTTATCTTGATCAGACAGCGTTTCTATTGTTTCACCCATATATAAGAAGTCATATTTTGAGTTAAATTTTTCTTTTCAAATAAGTCTGAAATTCCCAAAAGTTATGAATTCACTTTCTGTCCTCTTTGATACATATTTAGTGTAGGTCCCATTCTGAATAATTGGCCTTTATATTTGAGAGAAAATTTGCCAAGATGCAACAAAAGAACACTAGTGTCAGGCAACCTTTAAAACTTTGATGTTATTGTTTTATATTATATCACAGTTGTATATTTAAAAAAGCAGCCAAACTAACAATGCAGGTGTCACCACAAAGAATGAGAGAAACCACTCGCTCTTCTTTTTGCAGCCCGTTTTGGAAATTTCAAGATGTGGAGCTATGGTGCAGGTCTTGGATTTGACTCCCGGGCATTGTGGGGCCTTCTCTAAGTTTCCTCCAGGTGCTCCGGATTCCCTTACTACTAAAAACACCCTGAACTAAAGATTCTGAAATCTCTGTGGAATTGGTTCAACAAAGGACAGAAAAAAGGGCTTATAGTTTTAGTTATTTTTTAATTTTTTTTGAAGTTTTATAATGTTTTGATATTGTTGCCTGTTCAAGAATGGGGGGGGGGGGGGGGGGGGAGGAGAAGAGAGAATTAAATGTATCTATAGGCCTGAATGGGATGCATATTCTTGTAAACGTTTAATACATCTAACTTCTCTTTTAAAAAAGAATACCAATACCTACACACAAACAAGATAAGAATCCCCTATTTTGTTTTATTCCATGTTATGAATATGACTGGCATTGAGTCTGTATAAAACAATGTAACTTCCTTGTTTGATGCTTCCAAATAAAGTTCTAATGTTGTTTTTTTTTATTGTTTCTGCATTGTACAAGCTTGTCTCTCAGCCTCGTACCAACTGCAACACTTTGTCCAGTGGTCAAACTACTTACGGTTAGATTAAAACGATGCCAGAGTTTCACTGGGATACCACTTCCTCATCCCTGTCTCATCACTTCCACGGGTCTCCATGGTAACCTGCCTCCGTGTCTCTGTCCCACGAGGACGTGGATGCGCGCACGAGGAGTGGGCTGGGGCGGCTGGTTTGATGAGCGTCTGGCTGTTCACACGTGGGCAGTGTGAGCGGCCAACATGGCACACAGCACCGTGCCATATGGCGCCTCTGCCACAGCACAGGACGGCTACTGTACGTCCTGCTGGCCCCAAACCCACCGAGCCTGTGGGCCATTGCGCAGGGAAAAGTGCGATTTGACCCATCGGAGCAATACACTTTTCAAGCAATTAAAGGGAGCGAACATTTGAGGCGTGTTTAGTTTATTCTCTGTTCTTGGCCGTTAAGAAGTCTCTCATTCTGGAGTGTGCGCACAAATAGACTTAGGCATGAAGTAAAGCACAAGTAATTGAATCTCTGTATACTTTGGGATGTGATTTCACCCGTTCAATATACAATAATATGGACTTTTGTACTAGTTTAATTGCTGATACACTAGTGCCGCTTAGTGGTAGATATGAGTAATGCATCTATAGTTCACAGCTCTGTACAGGTGTAATCCATGTCAGATGACAAACGCATGTTGTATAGCCAATCCGTAAATTATGGGAATGCGTTTTTTACTGAAGACAAGAAAAACAAAACCACATTAATAACAAACATCAATCAAACACTCACAGGTCCAGGGAACAGATCTTTTAGTCCATGGACCTGACGCGCATAACGGCATTTCCCTTAGTACTGCCCCAAAATACTAATAATTAAAATCCCAAAATATATACACACACATCCTAATATAGCGTTGTAATAAAACACACAAGCAACTGATAAAATAGATTTATTGTCTTGTTTTCAATCAACAAATTGTCAAAGCATTACCATTCTGCACATTCTTACATTTATACATAAATAATATCAAAACATGATCAGTAAAACATAAATTGTGTTTTTCTTTAGTCAACTAAAAATGAAACAAGTGTATTGACTGCACCGCTGAAACATCACACAGAGGAGGCTTTGTGAATGTTCTAATGACTAAATTGTGTTGCATAATATGTATGTACTGAGGCTGGAGGTCCACATTTCAGATCATCGTAATAGAGTAAAAGGTCTAATGCAGACCTCTGATACCTTCGACAACCCCTCAAAATCTCCTCTTGACAAAATAGTAACAATCAGATAGAGACATCTAAAATGTAACAATAATAATAATAATAATTTACACTTTTCATGATAGAATAGAGTTTACTACAGGCACAAATGTTGTTTAACTCCAGAGATGTACTGAAATCATGTTGTTAACTAACTAACTAACAGGCACCGGATGAAAACAACCTATTTTCTTGTATAATTTATTTAAATATTAGGCACAAAAAATAATGTTTGCATTGATTTAAGGATATATATTCTCGTCATGACACACAAAAGGCTTTAAAGTTGCTTTCAGATTAGTACATTCGACAGGTCAGTTTGTAACTTAAAAACAACACCTAAAGCAAGAAGCAACAGGGTGGGAGTTAGAGCCAAGAATAACACAGTAAAAACATTTTAATGGTAAAAAAAAAAAACATGTTGGCTTTGTGTTTTATTGACTATGAGTCCTGTATCAAATATAAAAATTGGGCCATTAATCAATATTCTCTCTTACTGCATCACAAATCTTCGTTACATTTAGAGAAGATCAGTAACTTTGTCCTAGTCTTATCTAATACATACATGTTTAAGGCGTCAATAAATATATAGAATGTCAGACAATAGTTGATTGAGGTATCCATGGCATCAATACAAATTGTAATCTTATTTCAGTAACGACATTGTACTGGCACAAATGGAGAAGCAGAAAAGGAACACACTGCAAAAAGTTTTGAAAAATAAGTCAAAAATTGCTCAAATTGCTCAAAAATGTATCTTCATTTGACTGCCATACAACAAGATTTGCCAATAGGACGAGCAAATTGGTCTTGTTTTCAAAAGATACAAGAAATGTCTCCATTGGAATCAGAAATAAATGTCAGAATGTACCAAAATTAGATGAAAACCACTCGATTTAAGCAATTATCAAATTAGTTTTAATCTTTTTTTTGCAGTGCAGAGACTATAAAAAGGTTGAGAACATTAACATCCATAGTCACATAATGAGATGTCAAAGCCTCCTCCCCCATGTGACTGTGAGACGTTAAAAAAAAGAGATAAGTGCTTTCCTAAAGGAATCTACTGCTACATGGCTTCAGACACAGGATCTTTGGTCTTTAATAAGCATTTGATGAGGAAATTAAATAAAATACACCATTCAGAGCAACATAAATTGTAACACTGTTTATACACAAGTTTCATATTTGAATTTCAGCTAGTTTGTCAATTTTCTACAAGTTTATTAAATATTGACTGCTGGTTGACATGGATATAGAGTGGAAATACAAATCTACATGGAATTGTATGTGTTGTGCTTTTACTGGTTTAATAAAGTTACTAAAAATACAACAACCAAACCGGTGCATGTTTAATGTACACACACATATACTGTAGCTACTGCTCCAACTCAGATTAATCCTTTGCTGCATGTGCTGGGTGTGGGTAATATTATATCAGCTGCATTACATACATTTCTGATTGTATTATTAGCTCGAGATACAAAATGGCAAATGTGAACATAAACACTATGACCATCATGTACTAAATGTTGAACTGGGGACACAAATGAAAGATATGCATGTAATAATAATTCCTAAGAGGTTAACTTTGTTTTTACAAGTCAACCATCAGTGAGTGTGATACTTTTAACCCAGTATGAAACTTATTTGAAATCATAAAAAGAAAGTTCTACATCCCCGTCCTACAGGCTGAGTCTATAGCCTGTCCGTCCGAGGGAGCGGATCCCTCCATCATTATGTTTTTGAGTCGTTCCGGACGATGCAGGAGGGTCTAAGGTAAGGACATTTAAGGGCATTGGTCATTCCACTCCCTATGGACCAATCCTATGTGTTTGAACTGTTTGATTGTCTGATCTGTTTTGTAGGAATCAACAACTTTGTAAAGTCCTTCAAGGGATTTAGGGCTATACAAAATTAAATAAATAGAATTGAACTACATTGAACTAAATGCAAAGCTGCATATAAATATTCACATGAAAAAAATCACATCATTTCTGAACAGCAGAAGATGCCTTTTCTATAATCGACTCTTACTTTGTTACTGTACATCTGAAATCCTCATTTAAGTCAAACATGACATGGATGACACCATGTCCATTCCAGAATAGACACTTCTGAGATCAATGGTTTTGTGGATGGAGAAGTACACCTGCATTGGACTTATGTACAATATGGTTCAGTAAGCCCCCTCAGTCCTGCACTGCACAGCATCAGTCCTTGTTCTACAGCCTGAGTCCTGCCCCGTTTGTGGGAGTGGATCCCTCTCTCAATTTGGGGCTCCCCGAGGTTTGTAATTTTTTACTGGGATTTTGAGTTGTTCCTAGCCAATGCTGTCTAAGGACAGTGATGATCCAGGACATTAATGAGACGACTGCTGTTGTGATTTAGGGCTATACAAAAATAAATGTAATTGAATTGACAACCAATATGGGAATGTCTGTCCACAGCCACTGACCTAAATGTGGATGTGGTGATAACGGCCTTTACAGGAGTCGATGTCCATTCGCTTGGCTTCTCCAAAGGCCAGAAAAATGCCAAGTCCCAGCAGGTTCACTGTGGTGATGAGTGCAAACACCGAGGCCCAAGATCCTGTCGTTTCAATCAGATACCCAGAGAAATACACCAGCAGGACCCCTAAAGAGAAGCAGATGATCCATTTTAGCAGAATTACATCAAATGCAAATGTCAGTCACCTGTCATCTTTTTCGCTTTGTATTTCTCATCTGCTGTCTGCTTGATCAAATATGCATGGTGCAACAGGGAGACTATTGAGTGACAATGGCAGACAGGACAATGAAGAATTTACAAGGATCAATTATTAACCGCAAATTGTTTTACAAAAATGTATAATTAAGATGCTCACCTGAGAAAGCGCCGCATGTATTCATAACTCCTGCAAAGTCAAAGTGTCAAGTTCAGATAGAATATGTTTCACATGAGGGCCAAATCTATTCAAACCTACCAAACAAGGACCCAGCGCACGACGGAGCCAGATCCTGGACATTGATTGAGACGCCGCTACAAAAAAAAGCAATGCGCTTTAATATATGAGCACCATCATGGTCACCATAACAACGACCCACAAAACCAATTCAGAGCAGGTGAATGTTTGGCCATATGGATCCTATTTTAATATGCATAGTGACATATGGAATAGTCAACCTACACTGCAAAAATTGATAAATTATGAGGAAATTATGGCATGAACATTCTGACCGTCTTAAAACAAGATATGCCAATGGGACAAGCCATTTATGGTCAAATTTGGCTGAATGTCACTTTTTGCAGTGTATATTAAAACTAGTAATCCGAATTAGATAACGCTTTGAGAAACAAATGATAATAAAAACATTTATTATATTATTTTCAATTTCAAACTAAAAGTACTATTTTTGTACAAGTATTTGTCATAAATAAAAATACCTCTTTTCGCACCATGGTGATAATCTGAGTGTTGAGTTTGAGCAATCATTAAAGGGGATACAGCCTGATAATGACTGTCTATGATCCCTGTGGCTCTTTATTAGATACTGTATGGTCTGAATTAAGAATTTGCAGTGATTATTTTGTCTTTTAGCAAAGAAGAAATCCTTAGGTGGATCCTCCAACTATCACAATTTCAGACAAGAAAATTGCCAAAAAAAAAATCTAAAGCTTGAGGAAGACGACATAAATAACAGCCATGTTGGTAAATGACAAGGGAAAACAACAATGATGTGGCCAAAAGCTGAGAAAAGTTCAGGTTATGTCCTCTTTAAAAACATTTTGTATTAGGACATCACTATTTAATTCAATATATTTGTGCACAGCCCTAATTCACCACAGCAGTCATCTCAGAGGACTTTAGACAATAGTCATTTTGATAAACAACAGATTAGATCCCATAGAAATATCTCACTAATAACAGCGACTGAGTACTTTGAATACAGTGTGTATTTGCATACCTGTAGTTGAAGGTGTGCAGGCCCATGGTGATGGACACAAGAGTCACCGCCCACGGGAACGTGGTTTTCCCACAGAGCCACAGGGTGAACACACTGGACAGGCCCATGGCAAAAAACTACAGATAAAGCACATGTCAGAGGTTATTATAGAACAGACTTATTCAACTCAACAGATCAGAATAATCTAAACTCAGCCCATGTTCACTACAAGAAGTAATTCAAGGCGTAAATGTTTGAAACAAGTTTTTATTTGTGTTGATATATACTTTATAAACATTTACCACTGGGGCATATAATTTCTTCTTTCAAGAACAGTAGTGATTTCTCCTCCTTTCAAGTGAGACTGTACTTCTACCAAAGATATTACTACTTTTCTTCTTGACAAATCTTGATTTTGTTAGCCTTAAAATAAGATTTTTGACTTTTTAATTGCAGCCATTCTGACTCATTTTAATAATTTATTGTGCATTTTTTTGGTCTCACCATGGACTTTGTACTGGTTTGGCATCTAACGGTATTTGTAACTAAATTTGACATTGTCTGAGATATATTTGTTGTTGAATGTTCCGAGTGGTGATGTGTTGTACAATTAATCGACCCAGAGCACATGGCTGTCCTGAAAAATCAGTCCTTGGGAACAATAAATTGAATAACCCTGTTATGGTAGATAGTGGCACATCTAGACTTACATATGTTCATTTATAGTTCTGTTTCTTGTTTTCTGAGGCTGTTGCTAGTCTCTAATTTGGAGAGAATAGCACATATCCATCTGTAGGAATAGATCTATATAATAAACAAAGTGAATATACACATTACCTGCATTAGCTTCCGCACAGATGCTGTATCAAAACCTGTCATAATAAACAGGTGTATAAATAAACATTGTTGACATATTGATAATGATAATCCTGAATGGTTTACCTTGACCGATGAGATTGTCAGAAAAGCACCCACTTAAAACAGAGGAAGGAATGGCTACCACCCAGGGAATAACATTGAACACCCAGCCCTGGAAAAAAAAGGGAAAAAATGAGTTCCAACAAGAATCCTAAAACTCCTTGAATTGTTTATGATGTTTGACAAGAAAATGGTTTTGTCTCTTTAATTTTTGTGTCAGATCAAAAAAGAAATATGTGCCTTCAGTGTGTCATTACTTTGGCATCTGGGAAGGTGTCTCTGAAATAGGTCGGCAGCCAGGACGAAAGGGTGAAGAATGTGCTCGCTGTGCAAAGATGTGCAATAATTACAGCGCTGTTTGGTACAGAAAGAGAGAAAGAGAAAGTGCATTGTTATCTGCAGTTTAAACGTTCAAATCCAGTGCATTCATCAGGTAAACTCTGATTGTCTTTTTACCAAACAGCTGGCTGCTTGAAGAGCCGCAACCAATGTATTTTAGTGAGCTTGGTTTGGGTCTTGCTGCTTCCTAAAGATTCGAGGGTAATGACAGGACCTGAAACGACAAAACAGTCTGGATCAGGGGTCGCCAACCTGCGATTGGAGAGCTACTTTAATAAAACAGAAATGGCAGAAAGCTAGTCGTTTTATAAGTTGTAATACAATTTTAGTGTAAATAATAGAGAACGCGAATGCACAATATACTATTATACTATACAATGTCCCTGCATTAGTGATTTTATTTTAAATAGACACCTAATAACTCAAAATTGAAACGTTCAGGATCATGTGTTATGTACTTATATCCTTTAGGGATCTAACTGACCTGAAAAGGGGTGGCGAGCTACTGGTAGCTCCAGAGCCACAGGATGGATGTGATTTAGATGATAAAGTCGGTGCATTCATTAACATTAACATCAAACATTTCAATTTTGTGTTCCTTAGTGGAGTGCCACTGTTGAAAAACAGAAATGTACATCCAAAAGATCCAAATAAAATTGCCCAACTCTCTGCGGATAACAACGTCTCGGCCGATTTCAAAATTTGAGAAACAATCAACTGAAGTACCAGATAAGATTGAATTGTGTCCATTCATTGCACTAATCCTGCAATCATGACAATGTGCTTTGTAAGATTCTAATCAGCCTTCATACGGTGAATAATTATTATTTAATTTATGTAAATCTATTGTGGTGAAAATACTGCTAACCTTCTCCTTCCAAGAGGTACTTCCACATGCAGAAGGCCCAGAGTATGGTCAGCAGCCCGGACACATAAAACACACTCTCCCAGCCGTACAGCTCCAACATGAAGGATCCCGTTCCACCGATCATCAGCGTGCTAAACACATGCGTCGTCAACAAGCCGCCAAATAACATAACAACATGATCTCTTACTTAGAATGACACTTAGCATACTATAAGCAACACTCACCCCAGATAGGAGCCACTACCCACTGTGCTCATCAGGAATCCTCGCTCACTTTCTACCACCTTTTGGGAGCACAGACTGACCAGCGATGGATAATGAACCCCTAAAACACAGATAAACACAGAGATTAAGATTAAGAGATTCTTTATTTGTCCCACAGTGGGGAAATTTCAGTGTTGCATCACAAGTTACAGACAGTAAGAATGGGGTACACACACAGCACAGGATATAGGAATAATAACTAACTCTATACTAAAATAAATTAAAATCTCTGAAGCTTGCATTAACAGAATCAGTATAATAAACTCTATATTTATCAAAATAAGTAAAGAAGTCTACATTCTCTAACTTTAGTTTGATGAAGAAGCAAGAAGAATACTGTGAATACTGCAAAGTTTGTCCATTTTGTTTAGACATTTAATTTAAGACAAATTTAGCAGACATTGAAAGCATTGCTCAATCCAGTTTTTCCGGTTACACATATATTTGTTTGTTTGGATCAGACAAGCAGCGACAGAGATTTCTCACCTTGTAGCAAACCCATCAGGAACCGCGCTACAGTCATAGAGATTATTGGCTGAGAGCAGAAATGGGCCAAAACTGGAGTAAACGCCGTCGTTGAGCCCCAAGCTGCAGCTGACAACAACATGACCTTTTCACCTCCCACTCTGCGCACACAAATCAAAGTATTCAATTGTGTTTTATGCATCTAAAAAAATATAAAACATCAGGTCTATATTTCAGCGTTCAAGGAGGATCAGACACTGCCTAGAACACAATGGTGAGGGGGAAAAACTTACTTATCACTGACATAGCCTCCAAAGATCTGGGTGAAGCAATAGCCCCAGAAGAAGCTGCCCAGGACCATGCCGGACTCCTTGTGGCTCCAGTGGAATTGTTCTGCCATGCTGACCGCGCAGATGGGCATGGTCATCCGGGCGCAGTACAGCAAACATGTTCCGAAGAAGAGCACCACTGTCCACAGCCTCGCCATATGTCTGCGACGGGAGAGCATGACATTTTAACAAAGACAACAAAGTAAACAAGGCTTTTCATGTGCTATAAAACAGACTGTTGTAAACATATTTAAGTCTTATGACCTCTTGAGGCAGTACAGATAACACTCAGATCAGAGTGAACAAACAAACAATTCTACTGTGAGCCTGTATGGGTTGATTGAGCAATGAAATTACTATATAAGTTCTCTGGAAAATGTAAAATGTGAATTTAGACTCATACCTTCATCCCCACCACTGTCAGACTGTTCAATAAGTCACTTTAAGTCACTATTGACCTGCACTAGGACAGCTATTGCTATTATATCCTGCACAGACTATATTTTTTACACACTTCATGTCTTTTTGCACAATCTGAGTGGTTCTATATATGCCAAATGTGTAAATTTCGCCATTGTGAGATCAATAAGGTTTATCTTATCTTATCTTAAAGTACCAAACTTTGGTTGTATCATTAGGCAAGACACTTCAACCACATTGCCTAAAGCAGTCCGGTGCATGCATGAATGGTGATTACCTCGCTTCTGTCAATAGTTTATCACCACTGCGTATGGAGTGAATATTGCCATGTGAAGTGTTTTAAGTGTCCAAAGAGTGCTGTGTCGTGGTTTCAATCCCACAACTCCCACTGATGTCTGCTGTTGTTGTGTCATTGGGCAAGACACTTAACCCCACTTTGCCTGAAGCCCCCACTGAAAGATCAAATCTATGCTCACACTGACAGAGCAGCCATCAGGTTTTGGTACCAATATCTGTTCGATTGCAGTAGAACCTCTTCTTCTTATCAGGTAGAGACCAGTAGCCTACCCATTCAATAGTACCCAGCGCTACTTTAGTACTCAATTATGGCAAACTCGTGCTGCACAGTTGCTGAGTGGGTAAGCAATCAGGTCTCCGCAAGAAGGTCACTGATTGAATTCCCTTGCCTTTCTGAAAAGAGATGTCATGTTCCTCCCTATGCCTGGGTGGGTTTCCTCCAGGCGCTCCAGTTTCCTCTTCCAACCCAAGAAACGCACCAGAAGGAATAAACTCCAAATCAGGTCCTGCCCAGAGACTGTATATATTGTCCTGCCCAAGTTGAGATAGGTCCCTGGGCACTTCACTGTAGAGACCACTGCTCCTGACTGGTTTCCCTTGTGGCCTTGACGAATATGAGTCAAATGCTGCAGATGACAAATATACCCCACTGGGACTTTACATTATAACTTATCCTATTTGACTAACCATTTAGCATCTTAAAAAACATAATCATTTCCTGCTAAATTACCCATGCAGTCCCCTCATTAATGCATTGGTCCTGTCCAAGCCATTCCATCACCATTTAAGATTCTGAAGGGCCTGCTTGATGTCACTAATATAATGCCATGTGAGAGCAAAAGTAAATATTCTTCAGCAAAGTTTGCCTGTGATGCAAGAGCAAATACACATCTGTTTGCGTCACGATTCCAAACTTCTGCTCTGTCCACATACAAATCTTATCTCAGCCCCCGGAGGTAAAAAATAAATAAAATCTCTCCACACGATCATCACTCGTTCTTGTTTATTACCTGGACCAGTATGCGCTCTGCTCGCTCCATTTCTTGTGGGACACTGCAGAGGATCCACTGTTGGGCTGATGGGTCTCCTTGTTACACACCAAATTGCAGTTTTTTCCATATTTTTGAATTACTGCCATTCAACGCAGGGTTATGGCAGCTTTCTCCTTCTCCTTCCTACCTATACGGCTGTTTACTATTAGTTCCTTTTTACGCAGAAAACAGCAATAGTCCAACTCGCTCTAGGAAGCCTTCACATAATACCAGCAAAAAAAGCGAACCAGGATGCAAGTTTTAACGGGGTTTTCGGTACTAATATAAGAAGGGGCGATGTTGAGTCTATGGCTAAAACAGACTGTATTGAGAACGGTAATCCACGTGTCAGTTTCCTCCAAAGCCAGCCTCTTTTCAGATAACTGCAATACTTTCACCCACCGCTAGGGTTTTTTGGTATTTCAGGAAGTGTGCTCTGTGACCATGGTGACGCCAGTTTTTAACCCCGTGTTTGTTATTTTATTTTATAACACTTATTATAAGAAGTAACTTTTCGTCTTCAAACCATTACAGCAATGCTTAGTGTTGTGCGTCAGACTAAAAATTACAGTCTATGTCCCAGACCCAGAAATGTATGAGTTTTGCTGCAGGGCGAATAAAACAATCTCAAAGTAACCTGAAAAAAAAAATCCATAGGAAAAAAAACAAAAACGAATCAAGAGTATACTTTTGTATAATTATACGCAGTTAAAAATCTGCTTTACTTTTTTGCCAGTACAATTATGGTACCGCAACCCTTTTGACCTGTTATTATTCTTACTGCATTATTACATTTACATCTGATATTTACTGTCATTCACTAATCTCTCTACTTGCTGCTATTACTATTGTTGGTTTTGGTCATATTCTCTGCTGCTAAAGTACAATCTGTACCGACCAAGCTCCAGAGTTTCATTTTATTTTGTTCCATTTTACTATCGCATTACATATTATTTTAATTGTATTATCTATTATCTTAAATAATAATGGATCCTGTCTAGTGTGTGCAATCTGACTGCTTTTATTTCCTTCTTTTCTCTATGCTGTAATGTGAGCAACGATGACATTGAAATTTTCCCACTGTATGACAAATAAAGGAATATCTTTTATTATCTGTTATAAGGGGTGAACAATGAATCACGTACCCTAAACTCATTTTGTTAGAGAAATTCTGCTGTTTCTCAAACTGTGTTACACCTCTTAAGATATGGTTTATTCAATTCAACTATTGATTATGTATGTATTGTCTTGATAAATCCAAACAAGACCAGAAAAGCCCTTGAGTTATGGGGTGGTACAAACATACAAATACTTGAGTAGACAAAACATCAACAGAGGATGTGTTATTTTTGTGTGCAATCAAACATTTTCAAGGTTTTACAAATCTACTGTTTCTTATCCGTCTTTTTTACTGCAGTCACATGGGGAAATAGTTATCTGTAAAAACACGACAGAGAAACAGGCTGGATCATGGTTGGAGAATCACCAGATACAGACGGTTAAGTGTTGGACAGATGCATGAAGAGGAAAGCCCAGGTTGTTTTTGATAACATCAGGCTCCCTCTAGAATAGAAGCAACAAAAACGTCCTCCTCTCAGTACACAGAACAGAGCACTTTAGTTCATCTTTTTTCCCTGCTATCAACTTCCATTATGGACACTGTTTTAGGGGGTTTACACCTGGGTACATGTTTTAGAATATTTTTGTATGTTGGAAATCTAAAGCCTGTTTTATAGTGAGACTATACTATTTGTATGTATGTTGCCTCTGACTTGGTCGCTGATTTTCTCATTATGGGATAAAGACCAAATATGTAGATGACATGCAGCGATCTTCTAAATGTGTACATGGTGAGAGTTTGAGAACCATTGGTCTATAAAACTGAATAAACTAATTAAAAAATAAAATATTAAAAACACACTGAACAACTCTGTATAGTATCATCCTTAATTTAATTGATAGAAAGTCATACAATAGGAAACAGTAGATAATGTCCTAAAATGGCTACTCCTTAAAATTGTGTTTACATACACGTAGCCAAGCTTCTATTTAAATTTGTATTATCTTTATAGTAAGAAAGGTTTTCAAAATACAGCGTCAACCCAACTAATAACATATTCCACTGTAAATAAATCAAAATGTGGACTTAAAGGCTGAAAGAATACTTAAATAAAAATATGTCAAAGCGTTTTAGCTGAGATTTGAGAAATGTAATCAGTGCATTACACAACAGTCAGCCATGACAGCCTAATTTAGGCTTCATTCATACCTCCTTTCTCCAACTTTCTCTGCCACAAGACAGAAAAAAAATAGTGTAACATGATATATACAAAAATAATTCAATGTAAATGCAAGTAAAAACATGTTTTAAGTAATGATATTTGCAATTAGGTTGAATATTTTTTTTAACAAATTAAAACACAAGTTGTGAAAATATCAAAAAAGCAACCTCAACAAAAAGGTTGCACTAGATGTTTGTGTTGACATATAAATAAAATAAAAATTAGTCCAGTCTCCAGTCATGGTGTGGTTCAGTGAAGTCATTTCAGGTCTTCAATGGTGCCTTTGCTGAGATCTGTCATTTTGGGGTACTTGACTTTCTTTTGGTCCAGCTCATTTTGAGCCCACAGTAGGAGCTTAAGGAGCTTGGCGAGCTTAGGAGTAGATTCTCTGTTTTCATAGTCTAGTACAGACTGATTTACTTCACTCCATACCTAAAAAAAATGTACATGCATATTTAAAAATAAAGAATAACCACAGTGTTTTTGTAACCAAAAAAATATTACCTTTTGTCTTTGAATCATATTGAGCAAATCTCCAAAAGGGGATTCCTCAGGGTTGTCAAATGCCAATAGAGCAAGTGTCCTTTCCATTTCAGTCAGACATTCTCTGCTTTCCTCGCCTTGCTCCGCTAACTGTGCCTGGGCAAACTCGAGGGCCGCTTCAGTCTCCCGTAACCGAATGAGCTCTATGAGGTGTTGTTGCTTGGGAATGAACATATAAAGAAATGTTTGGTTAAAAAAACAAAAAAAGAAAATCACTAGTATAAATTTAAATAAATACCTGCATATGAAAGTAGAGATAACGATTGGTGTCAAGCAGTTCTGGATGCAAGCTGTTGAGAAGTGCAATAGCATCCTGGATTTGCCCTTTCAGGATCATCTCCCTGATCTTAATCCGTTCGTTAAGAGAGTCTAAATCTACACAAGGCTCAATCCCAGACTCCATTCGAAACTTCTCTGCAGCCTCCTTAAAGCCCTCTGAAATGAGTGATCAAAAATGGTTCATAGTGTAAAACATCAACAATACATTTTCAAAACAGAAACGGCCCATGCTGGTTGCAACTAGTAATGCATAAAAAAATCCTATATATAAGGGTCCCATGGGATTTTTGTATACATCGCTGCACACTGATGAAAGTAGCTTCAGTTCTAGTTTTGGGATTTTCAATATCGTTCACAACCCTCATCCCTACAATTGTGTTACACAGTCGGGTCCTGCCCTTTGCAATATGGACTCTCATAGAAAAACAAAAAAAAGATTCTGAAATCTCTGTAGGACTACAATATACACAAAATAAAAGATATAAAGAATATTGCTGTTATAATGTATATATTGACATATTTAATGTATTTTTCTATATCCCACTGTTTTGTACAAATGTGTGCAAGGAACTAATGCACACTTTCCATCAGGATCAAGTATTTATCCATCTAGCTATAACTTGGTAATGGAAGTACTTTTTATAATAACAGCAACAACAAATACTGTTAAAAGCAAAGACCAGATTATAATAATATGACAAGGAGTATTCGTTCCTGAGAAATCTCGGTTGTTGTTGACATTAACGTTGGCTTAAATGTCAATAATAATTTAACACTGACAATGTGTTATCTGTGTGCAGTACAAGTAATATCAGCCATGAGAATTACATATCGCATGACACCGTAGATAGATCAAACAATAATAGAAACGCTCAATGTTTACCAGTCACTAAGTAATTCATAATCAGTCTGTTCATGTCCGCTCTCTGGATGTGGACATTGTTGATCTTATCCATCCATTCCTCCCTTGTTACGTCCTCTGGTTTATCCGCATAACTCATTATCTGGGAAGAAAGAAAAGTTTATGTCACTAATCCATTTTTGTTCGTTTGAAATACACTTCTCAATCCCACGGCCCGTAAAACAACAACATTAGCTAGCCCTCGAGATCAGCCAGGTAGCGTAAGCTGTTTACTAACGTATTTTAAACCACACAAAAAAAAGGTAGTAAGTTTTGTCGTTTCCATTGCTTGTAAAACTAGCAGTTTTTAAAGTGGATGTGATACTCTAGGAGTTCATGATAGCACAAGTTAAGACACATTACCTTAAGTATTGTTTCGCTGCTTTCACGACAGCTAATAGCTAACAGTAGCTAACTTAGCGGAAACTCCTTCTTTGACAACTTCCGGTTACATTTTGTTAATTAATTTTTTGACTCAACAACGCCGTCTAGAGATCTGGAAACTAAGTAAAGTCACATAATAATACACACTTTTTAGCGTAATTAACGGAAATATTTTTTCCGTATTAGCGCTGTCAATATTTACCAAATAATAATAATACGGTGAATCCTACGCAAGGCCTATGGTCAAATGTCCGTCACTTTTCCCAGCCCCTTGTTTTGTGTTGCCATGGTAACAGTACTTCCCTTGCTGCTTATTTTCGCACTTTTCACTAACGTCTTTAGCGAAACGTCAACCAACCATGACAGCTAGTTTCTCTTCTACATGAACCTTCTTGTACAGGTAATATGTGAGCTGTGGGACTATCATGGTTTCTGTAATTTAGTTAATTAATTCACGTTTTAAATTATATTAATAAGATATTAAGCTACCTAATCAGTGGCATTCTAGCTAGTTAGCCAGGTTCTCTGGTGTGGCAGGCAACTTAGGTCATGGAGCTAGTATAATAGTATAATATCTTCGGTGCAATCATTTACTTGTCTCGTAATAAAGGAAAGCTATCACAAAGTGTCCACTTTTTTGGAATTATTTATCATGTCTATATCTGCTAATAAACTTTAAGGTACTTAAACTAGATAATTTTATCTTCATTTATAGTTATAAAAAATATCTAATAATATTTGCAGCTGAGTTAACTCCAGTTAAAAGTATTACTTCACAGCATACACGTTAATTCAGATAAAAATGCACATTTGTAAATGGGATACCCTTGAAGCGGTATGTTTGCTCATGTCTTTGGGTCCTAATGGCACAAGTTATCAAACACAGCAAAAACCACAGATGTGTATTATATTCATCTTGTTTTGACTGCTTATTTTATTCTCATTATTATTATTGTTATTATTCTATTTCTCATCGAAATATCTCCACATTTAAAGGTTCCCAATAAATGATTGTCTTCTTAGAATCCTCTAAAGCGTGATGTCAACTAATCTGTTTCATGGTTCTCCAAGCAGCCTTTGTGAAGATAATGTTGATTAGCTTTCGTTTTTAACTTTTTACAATGAATGGACTTTCCTCTCCACGGATATGACCTGTGATTTCTCTCCAAAGTAGATGGATCAGTTTAATGCCATGGGCTTCAACATTCCAGGAAAAATGTTACTTTAAAAATGTATTTCCTTTGCTGCATGTTACAGTGTCTGAAAATGGCAGCCTCTAACAGATCATTAAAAGAAGAATATTGTATACCGACATTCCCTGTCCTGCCGCCAATTGACACAACGGTTGTAGATGATGTAAAGGAGACATGTAAGCTGATTAACCAGAAAATTCAAAAGCGTCGAAAAAATAAAATGCAAAATGACCAGCGCCGTTTGTTAATGTAAGTTTGACCACTCTCAACAACAACAAAACAATATTTTTTCAATTTGTTCATCAGCTGTGCAACTCTTTATTTGGCTCAGGGTATCCAGAGCAAAGGCTGCTTACAGAGAAAGCTTGGACAGAGAACCAGAAAGGATGTCACCGGAGCCTCAGTTACCACCTTCTGTAAGAATAAACAGCCTTTATGGAATCACTTTTTTACAACCTCTACTCAACTCCAACCTACATCTTCTCACATGTGTTACAGATGATCAGTGAAGCCCAGAAGGAACGGGTTAGTTTTCTAGATTATGATGATGTATAGATAAATTCAAAGTTAAATGTTTTCTCCTGCTCTCAGATAAACTATGCATGCTTAAAGAAACTTGTGGAAAGTGGCCAATTTTCTCCAATTCAACAAGATTGGCTGCACTCCATCACTGGCAGAATCCTACCTGACCTAAAAACCACACCGAGAGATCATTTGCTCCTGGAGGAACTCTGCACCGAAGTGAGTGAGGAGTTCCACAGTGCCATTGTCAACCATACAGGTAGGACACACTTTTGTGTATTTACAGTGTTTGCCTCATTCAATGTCTCATTTTAATAATTTCTTATTTCATCAGTGGCCTCAGTTTTAAAAGAACCTCATAAGCCTTGTGACAAACAGGACATTACTCCATCTGAGTGAGTTACTCAAATTACATACAGTATATCACACACATATTGTCACGTATTGTAAATATTTAATCTTCTGCTATAGAGTTCTGGATTTCTCTCGACCCTGGCACAAAAGCTTTGTCCAAAGCCACAAGAAGATCGAAGCAAATTTGCACATTCTTCATCCAGTGATGCGGAAGATATTGGATATCAGTTACACCACTTTTTCTTCTATTGTCCTGGTGGATCTTTCAGGATACAGGTAATCAAACAGTACTTCATAACTATATTTACATCTATGTATGTATGTATGTACGTGAAACATTATTCATTATTGATCAATTTCAGAGCTTCAGGACCTGTCGACTGTAAAGTTTTACTCAATAACATAGCACTGGAGTGCAAGAGAATAGAAGACAGTATTATGAACACTTGGTTTCCTAAAGTTATTTATCTGCTAACCTCGAAAGAAACTGTTATGAGCCTTAAAGATGAGAAAATGCATTCTTTCTTCATCAGCGGATCCACTCTTATGTCTAATATGGTAAAATGGTTGTTCATCTATGTTTGTTAAACTGTTATAGATAAAAATCTTTTGACATGGTCACAATACTTTACAGCTTAAATCTCTGCTTCATACGAATGTGGAGCGATACGTCAGTTTCTTTGATCCAAAGAATCACCACAGCCTGCCACTGTTCCGTATGTCACTGACATTTGACGATGAAAAGATGGAGATCTACCCAACAATACAAGATCTAGGAGGAGCCATTTTTGGAATTCTTAGTTCAATAACAAGTACACTGCAGGTATGTGTTTCTCTGACTGTTTGTGTTTGCTGATAAGTAACTCAAATCTTTCACAGTACATTATTTGTTTACATTATGGTTGTTTCCATTGGCTCTGTTCTTCTAAACTATAAAGTGTAGCTCAGCGTAATGTTCCAATGTATGACTAATTCCATGGAAGTTTGTTTAAGTTAGGTTCATGCAGGTGACCCTGAAAGTTATACAGTGTTGTGCAGTTATCAACAGTAATGATAACATTGAAATAATGCATTTTTCCCCTATAGAAAGTACAGACTGTTCAGTCGTGGATTTCACAGTCAACATCATTTGTGGACGCAAAAGTGGCTGATCATATATTTGTTCGTGCTAAAACCATATTAAAGACAGCTGTAGAAACACATTTAAAAGAACCGGACACACATTTTCATAGTTATGGTAATGTCTAAATGACCACATTTCTTTCTCACAGCGTAAGGGATACTGCTAATATTTTAATTTTTACAGTTGACAAATATGCATGGCTTGTTAACGGAACAGCACAAGCTCAAGTTAATGGCTTTATAGAAGAGGAACACTCTTTCAATGACTATACCCAGGTACTAAACATAATCTGGCTTTAAATGTTTTGTACATGTGTAACCAGTATGATATTTTAAGAAATTGGAAGAGTTCCAGCGTTTGTCCAAAGAGATTATCAGCCTTCCAGCCAAAGTCCACTTCACAATGGTCCATCTGGATTGTGAAGAGCTAAAACAAGGACTGGCCAACAAAGCTAAACACTTTGCTCAAGTGCTCATAAAGAAGCTCCTGAACAACCATCGCAAGCTTAACCTGGAGTAAGTGAAGTATAAGTTTCAGAAATACTTTTTGTATTAATTATTGGATTAACAGTACAAAGGCTTCATATGTTTTTACATAATGATCTATGTTGAAGGATTTGTTCAGAGTTTGAAGCAATTATGAAGAACACACAGAAAGAACCAGAGAGCACAGAAGAAATGACAAAAATGATTGAATACATAAACTTCACAAAAACAACGGGTCTCTCGCAACTGAAGGAGAGAATATCTGTCAGTAGATTATGTCTATCATAGCTGACAACATGTTCCAAAAAAAAATAAAATGTTGTTTATATATAATGCTTCTGCAACAGGAATCTCTTCAAAGGATTCTGTACCTCATGGATGTCCAAATATTTGAGCCGGATGACCTGGAACTTCATGTGACTGTATTCATGTGGCCAAAGAATATAATGGAGGCATTTGTGCTCAATGATGAGGTAATGCCCGTCTTCTCGTGTTCACCTTTGTGAATACTCATTTAAGATGTAATGCATGGGATGTATATGTCGTGATTTCCCCAGGTGATAGAGAAAGCTAAGCATAAAGGAACCCATCAGCTGATTGCGAGAAGGGAAAAACTAATGGTTGACTTGGCTAAATTATCCCATAGAATCTTGGCTTTCCCAGAATGTTCAGAGCTGGATATGATTCCACAAGTAAAAACACAATCAATATAACCAAATATAGAGAGATTTTCTTCCTTCTTCCGTCATTAACATTCAACTGGTCTTTATACAGTATGTGGCAGATATCAGGACTGTTCAGAAACTGATCCAGGAGGGAGAGGAAGCGATAGAATACATCAACAAAGAAGAAACACTTTACAACATGGAGCTAACCAGTTACCCAGAAGTAGCTGTTATTAAGGAGAGCATTGAACCTTACCAGAAACTGTTTGGGCTCGTGCTGAAGTGGAAACGCACCGAACACAGGTATGCCGAGCAATAGCCTACTTCTTTAAGCTTGAATCAAGGCAAGTATGTTGCAGTAAAAGTGTTTTTGTTTAGATGGATGGATGGATCATTCCAGAGTCTAAATGGAGAAAGCATGGAGGGAGAAGTTGATGAATTCTTCAGGGAAGTAATCAAGATGTTAAAGTTTTTTCAACAGAGACAGAGTAAGGCTGGGCAAGAGGGGGAAATGAAACCAAAAAGAAAGCCTGGCGAGGAAGATTCAAGCAAACAGGAGAGCCCCACTGTAATTTTGTGTAGTACCGTGTTGCAAGAAGTCAAAGAGTTTAAGGTAGTGGAAGGTGTAATTTCTTAATACACTTGTTAGACTTGTTAGACAAAACATTCAAAACATACAACGTCTTTTGCAGGAGCATGTCCCTCTTGTGTCCATTTTGTGCAATCCGGGCATCAGACAACGCCACTGGGATCAAATGTCTAAGATAGTTGATTATGGCATTACTCCAGATTCTTCTACAACTCTGCGGAAAATGCTGAAACAAAACATCACCCCATACTTAGATCATTTTGAGTCTGTCAGTGCAGCTGCTAGTAAAGTAAGCACCCTATACGTAGTTGCAGGTACATTCTATGAATGTGACAACAACCATGTTTTCTTTATCTTTACAGGAATATTCTCTTGAGAAAGCAATGCAGACAATGGTGACTGTTTGGGATGATGTTTCCTTCCACCATCAGCCGCACAGAGAGACTGGCGTGTCTATCCTAACATCACTGGATGAGATTCAAACTATGCTCGATGACCATATAGTTAAAACCCAGACAATGAGGGCATCACCATTTATTAAGCCGTTTGAACTTAAAATTAAGGCATGTCATAATTTTTTTATAAAGCCTGCACTAAATAACATATAGTTAACTAAAATGACAAAGAGCTATTTGATATTTGTTACTCCAGAGTTGGGAACAAAGACTGCTTCATATTCAAGAAACCATTGATGAGTGGCTAAAGGTGCAGGCCCAGTGGCTTTACCTGGAGCCCATTTTTTCCTCTCAGGACATCATGCAACAGATTCCAGAGGAGGGACGGCTTTTCCAAACTGTGGATAAAACCTGGAAAGATGTCATGAGGCACTGTGCCAAGGACCCTAAGGCATGTAATTCTTTGTATTTTTAATTAGGAGTTGTTAATAGTAATATATGTATAGTATGATTTTCTTGATGTGGTGTTCGTTGTGAGGCGCGTTGTGTTGCCTTGTGTAGAAAAGGCGCCATGCAAAAAAAAGTTGATTGATTGATTGTAACTGTTTGCTTTATAGGTCCTGCCAGCAACCTCTCTGCCTGGTTTACTCGAAAAACTACAAGAATGTAACATTTTCTTGGACACGATCATGAAAGGATTAAATGCATATCTCGAAAAGAAGAGACTTTTTTTTCCAAGGTAAGATGAGAGGATTGCACTTTACAGCACATTATTGCACTTAACAGCAAATTTACTCTTGAACTGGCTTTGTGACATCCTCTCCTGTTCTTTTTATCTTCAATGTTGTGTTTTTACTGTGTCTGCCTGGTTTTGGATGTTTTTGCTGTAAAACCAATTTCCCTCGATTTGAAGATAGAAATACACAATTCAGAGTAATTACCATTTTTACTTCAAGGTTCTTTTTCTTGTCAAATGATGAAATGCTGGAGATTTTATCAGAGACTAAAGATCCACTGCGAGTTCAGCCACATCTCAAAAAGTGTTTTGAGGGTATCTCTAAACTGGACTTTTTACCTAACTTGGATATCCAGGTATGCAGGCATTCTTCTCTATTGTTGTTGTCGTTAAAATCACACTCCAGCATCTTAACAGTTATCTCATGCAGGCCATGTACAGTAGTGAAGGGGAGCGGGTTGCCCTGGTCCAGAATATTTCCACATCTGAAGCCAAAGGGGCAGTGGAGAAGTGGCTTGTGCAGGTGGAGGATGTGATGCTGCGCAGTGTCAGGGATGTGATCGCTCGTTCAAGACAAGTTGGTTCATTATTTTTTAAGTTGTGGTTGTGTTGAGTGTCTGTGTGTTTGTGTGTGTGTGTGTTGGGTTGGATCAAATGAGTGAGGGGGTTGAAACCAAATAAGCGCCTGCTTTGTCCAGCCTCTTATTTGAAACCATTTATTTCTGTTCATTTTACTTCTTGTTTCTTTTTGTATCGTGTTTATTGTTTATATTTTACTTTGTATAACCTTTGAAATATAAATGTTTTACTTACTACTTATCTTATTTATAATATTCTGAGATTATCAGTGTGATTATCCCCCCTTCAGGCCTATGCCGAGACCAACCGCAGCCAGTGGGTTAGAGAGTGGCCTGGGCAGGTGGTGCTCTGTACTTCACAAATCTTCTGGACATTAGAAGTACATGAAGCTATTGAAGCAGGGGTGAGTCTCACATTACACTGCTTTTCAGAATGCTCCAAAATCGTAAAAATTTGAATGGCTTTTTTTGGTGTAGTGCTTGAAAAAATACTATGATCAGCTTCAAAGTCAACTGAATGACATCGTGGAGCTTGTGAGAGGAAAACTACCCAAACAAACTCGGACCACTCTGGGAGCACTGGTCACAATAGATGTTCATGCCAGAGATGTCATCATGGAGCTCATTGAGAAAGGTACATGTATACACAAGTACATTCTTATATAATTACTCTGTTCAAGGAATTATAAAACCAACTGTGACTTCAAACAGGTGTATCAAAAGAAACAGATTTTCAGTGGCTTGCTCAGCTTCGCTACTACTGGACCAAGGACAATGTCCGTGTTAGAATAATCAACTGTGATGTAAAGTACGCTTACGAATATCTTGGCAACTCTCCACGGTTGGTTATCACTCCACTTACAGACAGATGCTACAGAACTCTGGTAAGTCAAGTCAAAATTAAGTACTTATAAGTCATGCGCAAGTTAGTTCAGCTGTTTGTGTGCGTAGATTGGGGCTTTCTACCTACATCTGGGTGGAGCTCCTGAAGGTCCAGCAGGAACAGGGAAAACTGAAACAACAAAGGATTTAGCAAAAGCACTGGCTGTCCAATGTGTTGTATTTAACTGCTCAGATGGATTGGATTATCTTGCAATGGGAAAGGTAAAACTTTCGTGCTGTTATTCATGTGAGCCATTGATGAACTCTTATGCTAATATTCAATGTCTTCCAGTTTTTCAAAGGTCTGGCATCTTCAGGTGCATGGGCGTGTTTTGATGAGTTCAATCGTATCGAGCTGGAAGTGCTTTCTGTTGTGGCTCAGCAAGTGTTGTGTATACAGAGAGCCACTGAGCAGAAACTTGAATATTTTGATTTTGAAGGAACAACACTCAAACTCAATCCCAACTGCTTTGTGTCCATCACCATGAATCCAGGCTACGCAGGACGCTCTGAACTACCAGACAACCTCAAGGTAAACAAAAATTTTTTACCCACTATTTTTACCCACATTATAAAATCAACTTCCCTCCCTCCAAGGTTTTATTCCGAACGGTTGCCATGATGGTCCCAAACTATGCTTTGATTGCTGAGATCTCTCTGTATTCATACGGCTTTCTGAATGCCAAACCATTGTCGGTGAAGATCGTAATGACCTATCGACTGTGCTCAGAACAGCTGTCCTCTCAATTCCACTACGACTACGGCATGAGGGCCGTGAAAGCTGTTCTGGTGGCAGCGGGAAATCTTAAATTGAAATTTCCTAACGAGAATGAGGATATACTGGTAAAACTGATCAATTTTCAAAGCGTTTTAATTCAGTTGTGTAATTGAATTTGTGTGTATTGCCTTAGCTCCTGAGGTCCATAAAAGATGTAAACGAGCCTAAATTTCTCTCCCACGATATTCCCCTTTTCAATGGAATCACTAGTGATCTGTTTCCAGGAATCTCACTTCCTGAGGCAGACTATCAGGTATTATATTCTGCTTTCATTTACCAAGTAAAGTTGTATGGTAAAAATGGTAATGCCATGTTGTGTTTTTGTAGTTGTTTTATAGAACAGCTGAAGAGTGCTGCAAAATCCATAATGTCCAACCTACTCAAGTATTTTTAGAAAAGATGATTCAAACATATGAGATGATGATTGTGAGACATGGGTATGTTTTCTTGTTTCTTATGTTGAGTCAAAGGTACACATTGTAACCTTTTCCATCTGTAGAAAGCATGTTGAGGTTAAATATGTGTGTAAGTAAGGCTACATAGGAATGTTCATCTGCTATTTCAATCTCCACCACCACAGAAGTTGCAAAATGTACCTTTAAATTATATAATTTAGCATTGTATAAAACCCATTATGTATATGCATTTCAGTTTCATGTTGGTTGGAGAATCCTTTGCGGGAAAGACCAAAGTTCTTCATGTTCTGGCAGACACACTGACGCTCATGAATGAACAGGGCCATGAAGAGGAGAAGATCATATTCAGGACGCTAAACCCCAAATCCATCACTATGGGGCAGCTCTTTGGGCAGTTTGATTTGGTTTCTCATGAGGTAAAGAAACACCTACACTTAATGCTGTTTGTTGTATAGGCCTTCATGTGCCTCACTTCTTTTTAACAGTGGACCGATGGTATTGTGGCAAACACATTTAGGGAATTTGCATCTGCTGAGACTCCTGATCGTAAATGGGTGGTGTTTGACGGTCCCATAGATACACTGTGGATTGAGAGCATGAACACAGTGCTTGATGATAACAAAAAGGTAAAAAATAAAATACACCTTGTTTTTTTGATAGTAGTAGTTGTGATGCACAGGCAGAGAGCTGAGAGAAGTATTAGCACAAATAAATACAAAAAACAAAACACAACATGAACAAAAATATATTACTTGAAAAGGGGTTAGACGAAGCAAATGCTGGAACACACACGTACGCACATTCACTCAGACAAGACATACGTCCACACACTCTAATCCTACACCTCTCCTCACTATCCACACTTTTTTAAACAGTTTGTTAAATCATATTTGAATATGTTTTTGCTTCACTAAATTGTGTGTATGAATAAAACATCTATAAAAGTGTATAAAAAAACACACTTCTATTTCTTTATTCTTTTCTGACAGCTGTGCTTGATGAGTGGCGAGATTATTCAAATGTCCAATCAGATGAGCCTGATCTTTGAGGCTATGGATCTCTCACAAGCTTCTGTAAGTTATCATATACTGTGACATGTGTGAGAAGAATTTGTTGTATTTACTGTCAATGTTCTGCAGCCTGCGACTGTCAGCAGATGTGGTATGATCTACATGGAGCCTTCTCAGTTAGGTTGGGAGCCTTTAGTTCTGTCCTGGGTGAACACTCTTCCAGAAGTTTTAAAAAGTCCACAGATCCGGACTCTTTTGTTAGAACTTTTCCACTGGCTTTTACCTCCCGCGCTGAAAATGCTGCGCAAGTACTGCAAGGTAACTGCCTCAGAGTAAAAACAAATGTGCATAAACATAATTTGCGATGAAAACTTTTGTTGTAGGAAGTGGTTCCGACTAGTAACAGTAATACCGTGATGTCATTGTGCCGGCTCTTTGAAATGCTGCTATCTGAGCCTGTTAAGACAGAACCGGGGGAAAAAATCATTAATGTTTGGATTAAGGTAAATGGAGACAACAAACAGCTTTTATCTCTCTGCCCCACAGAATGTTATTTTGACTTTCCTCCACAGGCTGCCTTTGCCTTCTCCCTGGTGTGGTCAGTAGGGGGCAGTTGTGATGCACAGAGCAGAGAGAAGTTTAGTGAGTTTGTTCGAGGCACATTAATAAGCAAGACAGACAAAAACCTCATTCCTGAGGCCATAGGGAAATGGGATTGTCCACTCGATGAGAGAGGGCTTGTCTATGACTACTTTTATGAGGTATACAATTTGAATACTCACAATATAAACAATAGTATATTTTTGCAGCAATAAATCACACAATGTAATATCTGTGCTTAGTTTAAAGGTAAAGGTCGTTGGGTTCATTGGAATGATGGCATCAAGAATGTCAACATAGGAAACAAAAACACCAAAGTTCAAGAGATAATTGTTCCCACAATTGACACCGTCCGTTATACATACCTAATGGATTTATGCATCACATTTGGAGTGTAAGTTTTTTTATCATAAGTTTACATGCCATTCTGAAAGAGTTTTATCCAATAAATAAACATTTTGTTCGTTTTAACATTATTGCCTTTTTAATATGATTCCAGGCCTAGTTTGTTTGTTGGACCTACTGGCACTGGAAAATCAGTGTACATTAAAGACAAACTAATGAACAATTTAGACAAAGATCTCTATCTACCCTTTTTCATCAACTTCTCAGCGCGTACAAGTGCCAATCAGACTCAGGTGAGCCTTGAATATTTTAAGTTTGCCTTTACTTGATTGCTTCAAAATGTCTACCTAATACTGCTTTGTTAGAATATCATCATGTCCAGGTTAGATAAGCGAAGAAAGGGAGTGTACGGGCCTCCTATGGGAAAGAAGTGCATCATATTTGTTGATGATTTGAATATGCCAGCCCTTGAGCAGTTTGGAGCACAACCACCAGTGGAACTTCTCCGACAATACATGGACCATGGAAACTGGTCTGATTTTTTTTTTGCATTTAACACTTGTTTGTGATGATATTATATTCATATTATTTTGTAGGTATGATCTCAAGGACACATCCAGGATCTCTTTAGTAGACATTCAGTTTATTGCTGCAATGGGTCCCCCTGGTGGAGGAAGAAATGCAGTTACATCTCGCTTCCTGAGACACTTTAACATTTGCAGCATTAATGCCTTCAGTGATGAAACCATGGTGTCCATTTTTTCCAACATTTTTTCCTTCTATCTCAAAAACAATGAATTTCCCCCAGAATATTTCACCATTGGCAATCAAATTGTCACAGCCACCATGGAGGTATGTCCAATAAATGAGGTATTATTATTATTATCATTATTATGGATTAAAAAACATGTTCTATGTTGCAAAGGTGTACAAGAAGGCCATGGAGAACCTGCTCCCTACTCCTGCTAAGTCGCATTACACTTTTAACTTGCGTGACTTCTCCAGAGTGATCCAGGGCTGTCTGCTTCTGAAAAAAGAGTCACTTGAAAGCAAACGAACTATGATTCGCTTGTTTGTTCATGAGGTTTTCCGAGTATTCTACGACCGTCTGGTGGATGACAGTGACCACACCTGGCTTTACAAGCTAATGATCAACATTCTTCAAGATCACTTCAAAGAGTCTTTTGGTCAAGTCTTTGAGCATCTAAAAACCGGAAATCAAGTAAGTTAAACAAGTGTTCAACGTTTTTATAAATCATTTTAAGAGGATTGATAACACATTTTTCACAGCTTGTAGAGGAGGACATGAGAAATCTTTTATTTGGTGACTATATGACTCCTGACCTGGAAGATGATGAACGTCTGTATGCTGAAGTACCATCTGTGGATAGTTTTGCTCAGGTGGTGGAGTCCTGCCTGCTAGAGTACAACCAAATAAACAAAAGCCGCATGGATCTTGTCATATTTCGGTAATACAAATTATATTTGACAGTGTTGCTGTTTATTAACTCAAAAAATATTGTATTTTTGTTATATAGCTATGTTTTGGAGCATTTGTCCCGCATTAGTCGTGTGCTAAAGCAGCCTGGAGGAAACGCGCTGCTTGTGGGTGTGGGAGGAAGCGGCCGGCAGTCCATAACCCGACTGGCTGCTTTTATGGCCCACATGACCATGTTTCAGCCCGAAATCTCCAAGAGCTATGGCATGACCGAGTGGAGGGATGATCTCAAGGTGTCTAATATAGAACCTATTTGAAATTGTTACATAGTTTTGTTAAAACTGCATTTACTGTAGATGTTGATGAAAAGTGCTGGAGTGAAAGGTCAGAAGACAGTGTTCCTTCTTACCGATGCTCAAATTAAAGATGAAGCTTTCCTAGAAGATGTGGACAGTGTGCTGAATACCGGAGAAGTTCCTAATCTCTTTGCTGTAGACGAAAAGCAAGAGATTATGGAGGTACTAGCAACTAACTTCTGAGTTTAAGCCAAAACTGGTATGCTGGCTATTAATGAATTTACTTTTTCTCATAGGCCATTCGCCCCATTGCTCAGGCAGGAAATAAGAATGTTGAACTGAGCCCATTGACTTTGTTTGCCTTTTTCATTGCACGCTGCAGAGAAAACTTGCACATTGTGGTGGCCTTCAGCCCGATTGGAAATGCATTTAGAAACAGACTACGGCAGTTTCCATCGCTCATTAACTGCTGCACTATTGACTGGTTCCAGGTAATATAAGTTTAAAATGTATGTCTCTGGGAACAAAAAGTGTGCTTCATGTCATTGTTTGGAAATGTTACTCACAACAGCCATGGCCAGAAGAAGCCCTCGAGAGAGTTGCCATCTCATTTATGAAGACACTGGACATGACAGAAACAGAGCAGCGTGAGGTCATACCCATATGTAAAACATTCCACACGTCTATAAAGCAGCTCTCAGAGAAGTATGACATTGACGTTAATGATTTATTTTATATATAATTTCTTATTAAACACATCGTTCTTTTCACTTGATGCAGATTCCTGTCAGAACTTGGTCGCTATAATTATGTGACACCAACATCCTATCTGGAGCTCATGGCCACTTTCCGACTTCTCCTCACTGAAAAAAGAGACATTGTTATGAAAGCAAAGCAGCGTTATATAAATGGTCTGGATAAACTGGCTTTTGCTGAATCTCAGGTCCGTATTTAATTATTATTTACAGTGGTCATGTTTTTATTAATTGTGAGAACTGATTGTGACTCGCGTGGCTGTTAAAGGACCTAAGACATATCAGTCATTGATTGGCTCTGAGAAAGTTTAGTCAAAGTCATAAAACTATGTTGAGAGTGCTCATATCATATATAATCAAGCAAATCAATACTCAATAGAATATTCATTTATTTAGAGTGAAAGAAGGTAACTCAATTTATTTACACATTTCTATTATAGATTCAACTGTATTTTTTTTTTTTCAGGTGGAAGAGATGAAGCACGAACTGGTGAACTTACAGCCCAAACTGGAGCAGGCCAACATTGATAATACAACAATGATGAAGGTTTTTAAAATAAATCAAATAACATCCAACTGTATTAATTGAATAATATTTGTATAATATAAATGTACTTTGCTATAATGCATTCCAGGTTATTGAAGTTGAGTCAGTTGAAGTGGAAGCAAAGAGCAAAATAGTTCGAGTTGATGAGGAAGCAGCCACTATAAAGAAAAATGAGGCCCAGGCTTTAAAGAATGAGTGTGAAAGTGATTTAGCTGAAGCCATCCCTGCACTCGAGGCTGCACTTTCAGCCTTAGACACTTTGAAGGTATTTTCTATTTTCAAATAAGATGTAGTCATAGAAACTAAGCTGCTTCTCTGTTTCAGCCTTCTGATGTCACAATTGTAAAGTCAATGAAAAACCCTCCATCAGGAGTGAAGCTAGTGATGTCTGCTGTGTGTGTCATGAAAGACATAAAGCCAGATAAAATCGCTGACCCTGCAGGAACAGGGAAAAAGGTTATTCTGAAAATACTACTATTACGTTATACGCACATTGATGTTGATATTCTTTGTGTGTTTGGATTTATAGATTTTTGACTACTGGGGACCGAGCAAGAAGCTATTGGGAGATATGAATTTTTTGAGAGATCTGAGAGAATACGACAAGGACAATATTCCTGTATGTTCTTAGAAGACATGTTTATAATTGAATAATTTAATTTTGATGTTTTTATAAATGTTTGTGTTCTGTGTCTTACATACACATATTTCTGTCTGTGATGCAAAAGGCAGCTGTGATGCAAAAGATCCGCGCTGAGTACATGACCAACCCTGACTTCGACCCCAGTAAAGTGGCTAAAGCATCTTCAGCAGCAGAGGGTCTTTGTAAATGGATACAAGCAATGGAAGTGTATGACAGAGTTGCCAAGGTCTGGTGTGATTTCCCATTCAATACATTTATAATATTTTGTGTAAACTTGAAATAGTATGTTCTTGTAGGTTGTAGCTCCAAAGAAGGCCAACCTGGCTATTGCCCAGGAGTCTCTTGCAGCCACCATGGCCCTGTTGGACCAGAAGAGAGCTGAGCTCAAAGAAGTTGAGGATCGTTTAGCTGCTCTACAAAAAACCTTTGAAGAAAAGACTGAAGAAAAAGCACAATTAGAGTTTCAGGTAGATTTGTGCGCACGGAAACTGGAGAGAGCAGAAAAGCTTATTGGTGGACTTGGAGGAGAAAAAACAAGGTAATTAATTAACAAAATACTTACAATGTTGTTTATAAACTTATTTTTAATTATATTTCAGATGGTTTAAAGCAGCAGATGACCTACAGAACATTTATGACAACCTGACTGGGGATGTTCTTATTTCGGCTGGAGTAATTGCGTATCTGGGAGCCTTCACAGCAGCCTTCAGACAGAATTGCACTAAAGAGTGGACTGACCTCTGCAAAGTATGCACTATGGCAAATAATTATTTCCAAAAGTACAGTTTCTTGGTTAAAATAATGAAACTTATTTCTTATAGTCAAGAAATATTCCTTCATCTGATGAGTTTTCCCTCAGTAAAACTTTGGGAGATCCAATCAAAATCAGGGCATGGAATATCGCAGGCCTTCCCAATGATAGCTTTTCCATTGACAATGGTGTTATTGTCACTAATTCAAGAAGATGGTATGTACAATATATGTTAATAAAACAATTATATGAATATTTCAATGATATACATGTATTTGCATTTTTAGGCCTTTAATGATTGATCCTCAAGGCCAGGCCAATAAGTGGGTGAAGAATTCAGAAAAGGACAACAATTTGAGTGTCATAAAGCTGACGGATGGAGATTATATGAGAACATTGGAAAATTGTGTCCAGTTCGGAACACCGCTCCTGCTTGAAAATGTGGGAGAAGAACTTGACCCTTCGTTAGAACCACTGCTTCTTAAGCAGACATTCAAACAAGGTGATACAACGTATCTTAGATAAGAGCAATAATTACCTTCATATATGTTAGGGATATCTTCATTAGTGTGTTTGTACGATTCCAGGAGGTGTGGATTGTATTCGACTTGGAGAGAGTGTGATTGAATACTCTCCTGGGTTCCGTTTCTACATAACTACTAAACTAAGAAACCCTCACTATCTGCCTGAACTGTCCACTAAAGTCTCTCTGCTCAATTTCATGATAACGCCTGAAGGCCTCGAGGATCAGCTTTTAGGGATTGTGGTTGCCAAGGAAAGGTAGTTTTCAAACTCATCATACCACAACATTTCCCAAAATACCTGTCAGAGTTTGACAGGAATTGTTTGTGCTCCAGTCCAGAGCTGGAGGAGGAGAGGAATGCCCTAATCCTGCAATCAGCAGCCAATAAAAGGCAGCTGAAGGAGATTGAAGACAAAATACTAGAAACCTTACAGTCCTCAGAGGGAAATATTCTGGAAGATGAATCTGCTATTCAAATTTTAGATTCTGCTAAAGTTGTGTCCAACGAGATAACAAAGAAACAACAGGTTTGTAAACAACAGGTTTCCACATGGTAACATTCATTGGGCTCAAAAAACTTTCTGCCTAAACTTGTATCTCAGATTGCAGAGAAAACAGAGATCAAAATTGCAGAATCGAGAGAAGGCTACAGACCAATAGCAAAGCATTCTTCTATATTGTTCTTCAGTATTGCTGACCTGACAAACATAGACCCCATGTACCAGTATTCTCTGAGCTGGTTTGTCAACCTATACATTAATTCTATCCAAGACAGGTAAGTATTTTATATTGAATATGATGTAATTCACACTGTACATGGTTCATGGTTTTATCGTTTCTATCAGCATGAAGTCCAAGATCCTGGAGAAGCGTCTACGCTACCTTATAGATCACTTCACCTACAATTTATATTCCAATGTCTGTCGCTCATTGTTTGAGAAAGACAAACTCCTTTTTTCATTCCTCCTGTGCTGCAATCTCCAACTGTAAGTATATTATACTGCAAAAATTCACTAATATTACACTACTTTGACTTTAATTATATATTTTATATACAGGGCAAAGAATGAAATTGATTACCCAGAGTTCATGTTCTTGCTGACTGGAGGGGTCGGACTACAAAACACCACTCCCAACCCTGACCCCACTTGGCTCCAGGACAAGAACTGGGATGAGATCTGCAGAGCCAATGAACTCCCGGGCTTACAGGGCATAAAGTAACTAAAGCCTCAACTTTTTAAACTTTAGGAACTTTTCTTCCCTTTTAAGTTAAAGCTGGGTTAATAACCATGATTTGCCACACAGAAACACTTTCATCAAAAACCCTGGGGGATTCAAGGCAATATATGATAGCAAAGACCCAGCCAACACTCCTCAGCCTGCACCCTGGAGTGAAAAACTCAATGAACTTCAGAAGATTATCATAATTCGCTGTCTTCGACCTGATAAGATGGTATCGGCTATCACAAAATATGTGACTTCTAAACTGGGGAAGACATTTGTCCAACCACCTCCTTTTGACCTGAGCAAAAGTTACCAGGACTCGAATGCTACAATACCCCTTGTGTTTGTTCTGTGTCCTGGAGCCGATCCAATGGCCAGTACGTATTTGCATCTCAATATTGCTGTATTATAACTATAACTATTTTTATGGAATTTTCCTACACTATTTTAAAGGTTTGCTGAAATTTGCCACTGACAAAAACATGGCGGCTTCAAAGTTCCAGTCAATTTCTTTAGGACAAGGCCAAGGTCCCATCGCTGCAAAAATGATCACAACAGCTATGAAAGAAGGGACATGGGTGTGTCTGCAGAACTGCCACTTAGCTGTTTCCTGGATGTCAACTCTAGAGAAAATCTGTGAAGACCTAAGCCCGGACACCTGCCATCCAGACTTCAGACTTTGGCTCACGAGCTACCCATCTCCCAAGGTTTAATACAAGTTTAAGTATTGTTTAATCAGCTGTTGGATTCCAAGTGAAAGTAATTTATTTTGTCTTTCATCAGTTTCCAGTGACAATTCTACAAAATGGAGTGAAAATGACTAATGAGCCTCCAACTGGTCTTCGACTAAACCTGCTTCAGTCCTATCAGACAGATCCAATTTCTGATCAAAACTTCTTCAACAGTTGTCCTAATAAAGAGCTGGTAAGCCATTAGTAACTGTATTCATTAATCCCTTGTGGTCATAGCTATCATTTAATTGTTGAACCATGTCCCGTGTTTTTAAATGCATTTATATTTAAATGGAAACCAATCAATAATCAGCCAATGATTGTATATAAGGAAACAGGAATGTATAAAAATGTAGAAATTTATATGTTATCCTTCAGGTTTGGGAGAAGCTTTTGTATGGTCTGTGCTTCTTTCACGCTCTTGTTCAAGAGAGAAAGAAGTTTGGTCCACTTGGTTGGAATATTCCATATGGCTTTAATGAATCGGACCTGCGAATAAGTATCAGGCAACTCCAGGTATTGCTGTTTTATATGTTTTTCTATGTAATACTTATTGTAGTACATGTATGAAAAATGCAATTTACAAAACATTTTCATTCAAATGTATTTTTTTTGCAGCTATTTGTGAATGAATATGATGAGGTTCCCTTTGAAGCTATATCTTACCTGACGGGTGAATGTAACTATGGCGGCAGAGTGACAGATGACTGGGACAGGCGACTGCTCTTGACTATGTTAGCGGATTTTTACAACAACAACATCGTTGAAAAACCTCACCATTCCTTCTCCCCCAGTGGAGATTACTGTGTGCCACCTAAATCTGCATATGGAGAATACATTGTGTTTATTAAGGTATGATAATAGTGGAAGTCATCGGTAGTAAACATATTTGTACAATGTGTTGTGCGTGACTTTTAATCCTGTCTATAAGATGTCCTGGAGTGTCTGGAAAGGCTCTCTTGGAGAAGAATGTATTAATATTATTTTTATCATTTTGTAGGGATTGCCTTTGACTCAGCACCCAGAAATCTTTGGAATGAATGAAAATGTGGACATTTCAAAGGATCTCCAGCAGACAAAGTTATTATTTGATTCACTTCTTCTCACACAAGGAGGCGGGGGGAAAGAGGGAAGCAGCTCTGGGAGTGACAACACTCTCTATGACATAGCTAATAACATTCTCACCAAGGTATGAAAAAAATAATGATACAAAGTTATGCTTGAACGTTTACACACCCAGACCACCTTTTGACTATATTTTGTTATGAAGTTATAAGAAAAAAAACCATTGCTTTCACTCTTGATTAGTGGTTGTGTGAAGCCATATAATGTCAAATAACTGTGTTTTCTATTTTTCAAATCATAAAATTATAGTCGCTTTGGGGAGATCTCAAATGTGCTGGTCATGCAAAGCGGCCTGGGAATTTACAGGAACTGGAGGCTTTGTTGTTGAAAAGAACAGCTTTACTATCAGAGAGGATAGAGAACCTCATCCAAAAATATCACAAAAGACTCCAAACATCGTAGACTTGAGGTTGGAATGGTTGAATCAGGGTCGTTTGAGTAGTTTCTGTTGTTGTTATGATTAGATAAGATAAATCTTTTTTATTTGACAATCAATGTTCTCACACAACCTTATCATTCCTTATCTCCAAAATAAAGCCAACTAAAACGAAAAGACTGCCTGGGCTTGTACATTGTCAAGTACAACTATCTCTAAAAAGCTACTCCCATTGTTGTTGTTCATGTCTCTCATGCTTGTTTCCTTTTAGCTGCCCAAAAATTTTGACACAGAAACAGCCCTTTTGAAATTCCCTGTTTGCTATGAGGAGAGCATGAACACTGTGTTAGTGCAAGAGATGGAGCGTTACAACACGTAAGCCTCAAATGTCCAAAAAGTCTGTCTACCTTCTCCTTTTTGCCCTTAATGCATTGTTCTGTTTGTCCAGGTTATGCTCTACAATCCGTGTCAGCATCCAAAACGTACTCAAAGCCATCAAGGGGCTAGTTGTGATGGATGCGGAGCTGGAGGCTGTGGCAGGCAGTTTAATAGTGGGGAAGTTGCCAGAAAGGTGGGCCAAGCGCTCCTATCCCAGCCTCAAACCCTTGGGCAGCTACATAAGTGACTTTCTCGCTAGACTCAAGTTTTTGCAGGTAAAACTTATTGTTGTAAATGAGTTCACTGTTTCAAATAGCTTTTAATGGTTGTCATTTGTTTATAGACATGGCATGATACAAACAAGCCCAATGTGTTTTGGCTGTCTGGATTCTTCTTCACTCAAGCTTTTCTCACTGGTGCGATGCAAAACTATGCAAGAAAGTACCGTATCCCTATTGACCTTTTGGGATTTGATTTTGAGGTGAGATTTTTGATTAATATTTATAAAGTTTTCAAGCTTATAAAATGTATTTCATATTTTGACAAAAGGTGCTTCCTATTGATGAATCTGACACATCTCCTGAAGATGGTGTTTACATCCATGGCCTGTTTTTGGACGGGGCTCGATGGGACACAGACAGGTAAACACCCAATAAAATTATATTTTTGTAACCATTTTTGTTCATTAAAACGACCCTAACCCTAACCCTTTACACAAGTAAATGTCTCCAGTGTGAGGTCAATGAAGTCTATCTTATCTCAATAAGTATATACAGCTCCATGACAGCAAGAAAATAAGGATATAGATGCATATACAAATTGATCTGCTAAAATGCCTAAGGATATTAAATGTACTTAAAATTGAGTAAACTAAAGACTAATACGTTTTTCAGACAATCCTGTCCGTAGCCAGTGCTGCCATTATTATTATTGTTATTATTTTTATTATTATTACCTCTTCTTTAGGGCACATCGAGTTGCAGTCCTGTTTAAAATGCCCTATGTAAATTATCTTCTTTTATGTGCTGTAGTGGTGTCCTGGCTGAACAATTCCCCAAGGTTCTTTTTGATTCAATGCCTATTATATGGATCAAACCAAGTAAGAAATATAATCCTAATTGTTTCAGTTACTAGTCTGAAAACTTGGGCTGAATTGCGGAAGGAGATATCAAAAACCTTTGATTTCTAAATCTCTTCAATCCCCCCAACAGCTGAAAGGAAGAACATCATTCAGTCTCTGAAACTGTACATTTGTCCACTGTATAAAACCAGCGAGCGGAAAGGCACCTTGTCGACAACAGGACACTCCACTAACTTTGTCATTACCTTGATGCTGCCAACGAGCAGGAGGCCTCAGCACTGGATCAAACGTGGAGTGGCCATGCTCTGTCAGCTCGATGACTAACATTATACTCAAACAATGCAAAATGCTAATAACTGTATGTAGTATTTGTTCCACTTCAATCACTAACCCTTTTAACAAGTTTACATGAAAAAACAAATAAGAGTCAGGACTGCAGTTACCCTACATGGACACTAAGGGGTGTTGAAGCTATATTAAAACGACTGAGCTGATTCACCTCAAATTTCTCCCGTTTGAAATTACTTTAAAATCATTATGAAAACAATTTTTAAAAAAAATAAAAAAAACTTGATATTAAATAAACCTTTGCATATGCACGTGAAAAATCTATCTGCAGTATGTTTCCTTTTCTTCTAACATTATTATTGGTGAAATTGTACTATTATGCTCTTACTATTATACTATTTTTACTGTACCGCCATAACTTAAGACCATGCAGTGGGTCAGAGTGCGGCGTCGGTGATATGATGGCCCCATGATCTCATATTTTTAGCCAACCTAATATAGCAACAGTATGTGGGTAACTGAGCCTGCAGACTTGTGAAAAGTGCCTGTCGACTGCAGCCATTGAATGAAGGTAAACATGTTTTTTTGCTTTTCTGTCTTCAAGTGGGCCTACTTTTTCGTTGCATTGTTTTTCAGTGTCATATAAGGTGGCCATAATATTTTTATATCTATATTTTTTTCTTCTTTTTTAGTATAATGCATGTGTGTTTTTGTCTGCATTTATCTTCAAAATTAAGTGAGAACTGTGCATAATGTTTTTAGTGTGATTGCCTTTAGTGCTGTTGTTATTAGCATTCTATTGGCGTGTCCATTCTGTGCTCCAGGCTTTATGTTTACCTTTTGTCTCTGCCCCAGCTCCTCTCGCTTTTGCAGGACATAGGCACAGATGAATACTGAAACAGAGGAGGATTTTTACCAGTCAGATGAGAACTTTGACGACGACGATGAAGCTACCCAATACATAATAGAGCAAAGTCTGATCCAGTACAGGAAACTCAAGGGGCTGAATCCAAGGTCTTGTGTTAACCCTTGTATTTGGTGGTATACTTTGATAAGTGAACTTTATTAGAGTTTGGGATGCATCCAATCTTTGTTTTAGTACAGTTAATTCAAAATGACTCAATTAGAGGCATTGCATTTTTTTCATTCTATAACTTGTGTTGAATTCTATTTCGGGAAACATTTAACAGGAGGTCAGGTGCCAATAGATCTTTTTTTATGGTGATTACATTCAATTCAAACGTCTTGAAGTCCTTTCTATGACCAATAAAATACATGCTTTTTTATAGTGTCACCAGTTCTAGACATCTTTATGAGAAAATAATCAGACAATAGTTGATTTTTACTGACAAAGAAGACGTACAACTTTGTGACAGTTTTGGTTTCATATGAATTGGCCCCGGATTACAGAAACTCTCTTTGGATTTCTGTTATGTCTCATGAACGCATTTTCTTACTTTCCAACTTTTTAAAAACAACAGTGACCTGAAAGTGAGTGAAGATCCACATGAGATTTATAAAGCGATCAGAGAAGGTGAGCTGATAATTATGTGCAGCAGTGAAGATGACGATGAACCGTTGTGAATGAATGTATTTGAGATTTTAGGTGATGAAGACGCTCTGATAAGACTCACCTTCCAGCCAGAGATGTTGTGTAAAGTGGACGAGCGCGGATGGATTCCACTGCATGAAGCTGCAATTCAGGATGACAGAAACATCCTTGAGACGATCTTTTCAGGTAATTGTGTTAACCAGGGCTTAAAGTTGGGGTACCTAACTTTCAAACCACAAATAATGGAACTACACTGCAAAAGGTTTGGACTGTCTTAAAACAAGACTTTCCAATGTTACAAACAAAAAGTCTTCCTCGGATTGAGAAATAAATTGCAAGTGCACTTGAATTACGACTAAAGTAATTTGCAGATCTTTTTTTAAGACTGTCAAAATGTGCGAAAATCAAGATAAAAAATTATCATATTTTATCATTTTTTCAGTGTGAGAGCCTGTTCGCAGTCATTCCCAAGTGTCCACTTGATTTGCGCCAATTAACACGCTTCATTAAGTCACAGATTTCTTTCAAAACATGTTAATTGGCCTATGTGACAACAGAAACACTGTGTCTGTGCCCTTGTTTAGTTTAAATTCTCCACTAATTAATTTGTTTTAATAAGTGAACCAGAATTGGTGTACTTAATGTGAACATGCCCTTTGCAATAGAATTCATCAATCGAGTTCCTCACTCTCAGAGTAGTTTAGTTTTGGTTTTCACATACTTTAGATCAGATGGAATTATGAAAAAGTGAGCACTACCCTAACTCAACCAATCAGTTGGCAATTATTGACTCACATCGAGAGACAGCAATTCACAGTCAGATTTGTCCACAAAATATATTTTTTCAAAAATGTTTTCTGTTGGGGCAAACAGAAAAGTATTATTTGTGGACAAAAAGCTTTAACTTTGTCCTCTTAGCAAGAATTTTGTGGCTTAAACAAACACAGTTCTCATATGATACTCTTTCCTCCTGTGTTCTAGCATCTCCCCCTGGTGCTGCCCAGTGTCGGACCCTGAAGGGTGAGACAGCACTGTTTTTGGCCGTTGTCCACGGACTCAGAGAGAACGCCACATTCCTCTTACAGAACGGCAGTAACCCGGACACCCAGAATGATGAGCAGGACTCGCCATTAGTCGCTGGTATGTTTTGTATTGGCTATATGGAAGTGCTGTATAATATGGACCTCAAACTAATGCTGCATTGTGCAAACCTTTTGGACAAACTTGTGCAGTACAGATGTTATATCTTTCCTTGGAATGTATCTCTGTATGGTATAAAACATAACAAAATTAAAGTATTGCTTTACTATATTGAAATAAAAGCAATTAAAAAAATAAAGTAATAGAGCTATAATACACCATTTATAACAATCTTGGTCTATAAAATACATAAAAATACACACATCCCTCAAGTAGAAGTATAGATGGTCCACAAAATATCATTCAAAACATAATTATTTAATACCTACTGTATTGACAAATGGATTCATCCGTAATCAAACTGTTCATTCCATTTCCTCAGCTATTTTGAATGATCAGTACGACTTGGCCACTCTGCTGCTACGTTATAATGCCAACGTTTCTCAGACCGGGCCATTGAATCGAACGGCTCTCCACGAGTGCTCATTTCTCGGCTTGGAAAACTTTGTCTATCTACTCCTGGAGTCTGGAGCCAATCCAAACGCCTGTGACATCAAACAAAAAACTCCTCTTGCTCTGGCTGCTCAAAACGGACATCTAAATGTGGTGGAAATTCTTCTACAGAAAGGTATGAAAGTGGATAAAAAACACTTCTGCTTCCTATGTATTTTGTAGGCCTTTGTGAGTATAGTTATAGTTGTCGACATGTAACCAAACTTCAAACACATGATTTCTTATTTATTTATGTCCTTTAGATGCTAATGTAAAGTGTGAATCAGAGTCAGGCCCTGTTTTGTTTGATGCGGCTGCCTCAGGAAACCCTGACATCATATCGCTGCTCTTGGACTACGGAGCAGATCCTAATCTTCCCCTCTACAGCGGACACCTGCCAATCCACCGTGTCGCCTACCATGGGCACATCCTGTAAGGAAAATATATTAAGTTAAAAACCCCTTAAGCAACCTTTTAACTGAAAAAATTGCAGAATAGAATCTATGGTTTAGAAAATAGTAGCATGTTTATTGACTGTTTGAATGGCACTTCCAAAAACCTGACTTAAACTTGTTCCTCCTCCTTGTGTTTCTTTGCATAGAAATTTTGTTCTTTTGGCTAAAAAGAGCTTTTCTGTGTGCAGTGACAATGAATGAGTGTGTGTTTGTGATTGCGACTGTGAGACAACAGATGCAAATTACACCTTGCCTACAATCCAGTGTACCTAGAGCAACTGATGTTCCTTAATATACACTGTCCCATCCAAATTATAAATAAGTAAAACACCTCTGCAATGGGGTATGAATGTTTTCAAACTTGGAACTTTTGTGTGTGGTTTGAAAGTTGTGTATCCTAGATTAAAAAACATTGCATTGCCATTTATTTTGCATCCTTTTTTCCAAGAATATGCAGATATGAATGTGCTGATCAATATATTAAACCAAATTTGTAAATGTTATTTGTGCTATTTTAAAGCTGGGCTAACAAATAACTACCAAACCAGAAAAATTCAAATTAAATTTGATACAATACAGTTTTTTCAGACTATACCCTCAGATTATACCCTTCCACTTTTTTAATCCCCACAGCTCAGTATAAACGAATGCATTTGTTTTCGACAGAGCTCTAGAGAAGCTGATCCCTGTAACTGACCTGTACGCGGTGAAGGACAGTGGCATGAGCCCTCTCCATTCTGCAGCTGCTGGAGGCCACGCCCACTGTGTAGACCTGCTGCTGAAATCTGGCTACGATCCAAACTTCATGCTTCACCCTAGAGTCCGCCGCAACTACGACGACGAAAGGAGATCCGCCCTCTTCTTCTCCGTGTCCAACAGTGACCTCCAGTGCAGCCGCCTTCTGCTGGAGGCTGGAGCCATGGTGAACCAGGACCCGGTCAACTGCTTCCCACTAAGCAAGCCGACGTTGAATCAACGTAATTTGAACGTCGTTGTCCGACGTAGAATATAGGTCACTGGTGGGTGCAGAATGAAAGTTTTCTCGACGTCGTTTCCCGACGTCACCTCAACCTCCAAATGTTACGTTGATGGCACGTCAATTCAAGGTTTGAATGTGGTACGGAACCGGTCGGGTCTGACGTCCTATCAACGTCTCAAATGACCAAAATATTGCCTTCATATGACGTTCGTTTTCAGTCGTTCCCACTAAGCAAGCAGATGTCAAAACTATGTCATTTCAACGTCATCTGGACGTTCATTCAAGGTTGCAATGTGGTACAGAACCGGTCGGGTCCGACGTCCTATCAACGTCTCAAATGACCAAAATATTGCCTTCATATGACGTTCGTTTTCCGTTGTTCCCACTAAGCAAGCAGATGTCAAAACTATGTCATTTCAACGTCATCTGTACGTTATCTGGACGTTCAAATGACGTCGCGGCCACTTCATTCAAGGTTGCAATGTGGTACAGAACCGGTCGGGTCCGACGTCCTCTCGACGTCTTATATGACCAAAATATTGACGTTTATATGACGTCCATTTACAGTCCTATTGACATACTTAACCTCTGCAGAATCACTCACTGGTCGAGACATACTTTTTGCAATAGGCAAGGCAAGTTTATTTGTATAGCACAGTCAAAACAAAAGGAAACTCAAAGCACTGAACAAAAGATAGAAACAATCAAACAAGGCATTACAATTATAAATATTGACTGTAAATTAAAAAGAAACAAATAAAATCTCTCAGTTGAAGCAGAAACAGAAGTGTTTTAAACCTGGATTTTAACATTGTCAAAGAAGAAGCCTGTCTCACATTTCCAGGAAGACCGTTCCAGATTTTAGCCTTGTGAATCTGAAATGCAGCTTTATCATGTTTAGTTCTGACTCTGGGCAATAAACGATAAACACAGCATTCAAAAATCATTAGAACAACTGTAGTAGAAGGATATCAGTCATTATTGCAAATGGAGCTGCATTAAAAATCATGTTTCTCTACATCAAAGTACAAGTTAAAGCACACAGGGCACAGTGTTATGAACACTACTGTACTGAACAGTTCATGCCAAAGTTAAAAAACATGATTGTAGCGCCTATGTTTGGATCAGTATTAAAACAGGCACAAGCTACACTCTAGGTTCCCCAGATGTAAAAACACAATCTGAAAGGCAGAATAATGCATTTATTGAATGTTGAGGTTCCAACATGTGTCCTCTCTTGGTCTTCAGTCTCATTATAAGGTCGAAGCACAGCACCTGAAAATGTGGAACATGTTTAGTTTCAACATAATGTGGCAAAGTGATATAACAACACATAACTTTCTATTAATGCCTCAAACCACTCGATCCATCACCATGTGATACAAACCTTGGCACTGCACTAGCTCGAGACACTGGAAGACACTCCGTCTGAGAAACTTGGGATAAGGCTTTGGTCATTGGAGTAATTCCATGTAAAAAACAATTGCAAATGTGCATTTGTTTTGCACATGGACAAATGAGCCCTGAAAGCTACTTACCCTGTATTACTCTACACATGTTGCATTTCCGAGGGGGCATTTTCCCCTTGTTGCCCTTTTCCCTCATCTTGAGTGAGTTGCTGAACAATCTGAGAAAAAGATAGATGTTTTCAAAGAGAATACACCAAATAATGGTTTATTCTAAAAACAACATAATAATACAGAAGAACAATCAATGTGTGAGAGTGTGATTCTTACCTTTGAACACCTTCAACACAGTCTGACACCTGTAAGACTCAAACACACATGACACATTAGGAATACACACAGAACATTAGTTATTGCAACAATCATGAAATTATACTCTATGGATTTCACAATAATTGACTGCATTAGCAAAGGTAAATGTATTTTAATTAACATATGGCTGGTTTTAAAGTTTATAAGAAAGAGTAAGAAATTGAATAGAGTTGCAAGCGTTAGTTAGCTTGCTACCAGCAGATGAATGGATATTTAATATTTGCAGCTAACAATAACAAAAATAACAACTGTAGTGGCTCATTTAAACAGCCACAGTGAGAAGAAGTGAAAGTCTCTGACATTGAAGACCTGGGAAGACATTAAATCAATTTATTAAACAAAGCAATACATGAACATTAAACTCTCTTTCTGCAGCAGGTAACATCTGTGTGCTCCTATGGTCCCACATGGTCCCACACCTGAACTCAACTCCAACTGATGACATCACAGGTGTCTAAATGATGGGAGTGTCCCAAATATTAAAGCTGATCTCCCTGTTTTTAAACTTAGTTTACTAAATACTGTTGTCTTTTTGCAGTTTATAAACCATTGTGAAATATACAGTAACTTTACATTTTAGAATTGAATTATTATTTTAAAACTCAAGAATCTTAACCTTTTTTAACACATACTTTGTTGGACAGTCTAACCTAAGAATTCTAATGTGTTAAAAATAGTTTGAAATATGAAAAACAATATCATATTTTAAACTTTAACTTAAAAACTAAAAAAAGGTGTCTCCCTTTCAGCTGAGCAGTGCCAGCCGTTATCATTATAGATTCATGCACTGGCAATTCAAAATACAGATAATATACAAAATATACTTAACAAAATCCACGTATACGTGAGAAAACAACTTACTTTCTGTCTCCAACTCTTTTCAATGTGGAAATGATACATCTATATCTAAAAACTGTGCAGACTGTGTACTTACTAGAGAGGATGATTCCAAGTAAATAAAGCAGGGCAGCGACAGAGGTACAGATTCAACGTCATATCAACGTGTGGGAAGACATTGCTTTACGTCCAGATGCACACCTTACGTCGTTTAGACGTGGAAAACAGGTCCTCGACCGAGCGACTCACGTGTCAGGCTGTAAAGTTATAAGTTATACTTGCGCGGCGCATAAGTGTGCGTCGGTTGTTTAGGGTGTTATTTATTAATTTTTCACAGTAATCACAAAAAATGCCTGGCCGTGGTGTAGCGGTTGCGTAATGAGACTTCAGTCGCAACGACGCGGGTTCAAATCCCCGTCGGAAAACTTTTGACTTTTCACTTTTTAGCGAACAATTTTTCTGTTTGGTTAAAAACGAATAAACACTCAACATAAGATTATGTAGTGGCTAATAATAAAACTTGTGAACCCATGCATTTGCATAAAATCTCAAGTGCTCACCCCTTATTTGCAAACTTGAGATTGTTAGCACAACAAATGCATACATTCACAAGTTTTATTATTAGCCACTACGTAATCCTATGTTGAGTGTTTATTAGTCTTTAACCAAACAGGAAAAAATTGTTCGTTAAAAATCAAAACAAATATATAAAGATAATAATACACACACACATGGGCTCGAACCCACGTAACCAAGACTGCAGACGTTTGCTTAACCACTACACTACCGTCAGGTTCACTTATATTGCTTCACAGCCTATATATTGTATTGCTAGATCAAGACGTACTGCGTCGGTCGGCCGATGACCTGTTTTCGACGTCTAAGGGAGGTCGGGATTGAACGTCATATCCACGTATATGGGAGGTCATTGTTTTACGTCCAGATGCGCACCTTGCACAGACGTCGTTTGGACGTAAATAAAAGGTCACGACCGACCGACGCGATATTGACGTGATCTGGAGGTTGAGTGGACGTCGGATGTTTAGTGGGTTACAGGTGGCCCTCCGACTCGGCAACTATGAACTGATCAACCTTTTGTTAAAGTTTGGGGCGAATGTGAACTATTACTCAAGAGTAAACACCACACACTTTCCCTCTGCTATTCAATATGCTTTGAAAGATGAGGTTATGTTGAGGATGATTTTGAACCATGGGTATGATGTTAAACGCTGCTTCGACTGTCCCTATGGTGACAGCTCCCACGATTGTGCGCCATGGGCATCTGCTGTTATTAAAGATATGGTGGTGAGTTTCCCTAAAGCAGTGTTCCCCAAACTTATTGAGCCGTGGTACATCTTTTACATAGGAAAGAAATGACAAAAACTAATCTTTGCAGCCTTTATTAACGATGCAAAGTCATCAAAGTGTATTGCATGGAAACTCTAACATGCATAAAAAAGTCTTTCTAATCTTCTTACCTTTTTTTGACCAATTAGGTCCGGCAAGTCAAACAAAATATGAAAATATAAAACATTTTGTTTAACTGGTCCGGTTTTGGTTAAATCTAAACAATTAACACATTTAGTTTTTAGGAAAATCAACAACAAAATAAAAGTGAAACCCATGTCACTTTAAAGTCAAAATACCTTAATAATGTAAGGAAATCCCTTCTATTCTTTCCACACCGACCTTTTTATTTGGCTCCTGAACAAAATGAGTTAGCCACCCTAGAATAGGTGATACTGGATAATTTCCAAAGGCAAACTAAACAACATCTCAAGACACATTAACGTACCACGGCCCACTGGTTGAAAAACACTACCCGAAAGAATTTGCAAGAAAATAGTCAATACTATATCATTGCTGTTCAATAATACATCTATTTCCTTTCCAGTTTTGTGAGGTAATAACTGTATCCTGGTTAAGACACCTCTCCGGTCAAGTTGTGCGCATAATGCTTGACTACACCGACGACGTGTCTTTTTGCACCAAGCTCAAAGACAGCTTACAGGAGCAGAAACAGTGGCCAGAGATTTGTGACATTACACGTAAATATTATACCAGGTTTCTTTGAACCTCATCAGGGGAAAGAGTACTGATTTAAACTGGTCTTGTTCCCAGGAAATCCAAGAAGTCTGAAGCACCTGTGCCGGTTACACATACGACAGCATCTCAGCCGTCTCCGGTTAAGAGCTCCGTGTTTTATCAATTTTTTACCACTTCCTCCAAGGCTGAAAGAGTATCTGCGTTACAAAGAGTATGATGTCTACAACAGAGGAATGATGGTATCCCCGTAGGCAATCAAGTAAATTATAAATATATATATAGAGAATATGTGTGTGTGTACAAAAAATATACAGTATGTGTTTCCTATTAAAGTATATTTGTACCTTTCCTCAACTTTATTTTTTTATTTCAAAGCTTTTGTTGTTCAACATGCAGCGATGGACAAAAATAAATGTGGATCCTCACAGTCTTGCATTTACAAAATGTACATTTATCATTTTAATGATAAATCTACAAACCTTTGTTTAAAAATAGAAAACAATAATTGAACATTTCCATCCATCCATCTTCTACCCTTTAATCCATTTCTGGGTCAGGGGGGTGGCAGTCAGAGATGCCACCCAAGTCTCATAGCACCAGCCCCTCACTGACCCTCTGCAGGTGGTGAGTCCACAGGAGGACGGCTGCTCTCTGAGTGTGAGCATAGCCTTGATCTTTCAGCGGGGGCTTTGGGCAAAGTGGGGTTGAGTGTCTTGCCCAAGGACACAACGACAGCAGTCATCAGTGGGAGTCGGTGGAGAAGGTGGGAATTGAACCCATGACCGTCAGGCCTGAAGGCCAATGCTCTACCAACTGAGCTACTGTCATAATTGAACATTTATGAAATATAATTACACAATATTACATTTATGTATATGTAATAATCCTCACACAATTCATATCTTCCTGTTGAGACTTTTCTTGTGGCTCAAAAACTGAACATATTTCCCAAAGTGTATTCACTTTGAAATTGAAATCATGAAATGTATTAACTGACTGTATTAGTAATCTTAATCTGTCTAGCTGTATATCAAGACATAACCTTGATTAACAATCCCAACACCACGCTCGCCCAATAATGAATAACACGGGGCTCAGTGGTGGACATAGATTCAACATCAATCGCAGAGAATTTGACTGTGACGACGCCACTGTAGTGAAGCTGCATTATTGATGTAGTACCCGCCCTGTCCGCTAGAGGGCGCGGATTCTCCCACATGTAAACAGTGACTGGAGCGTTTTGCGGCGCTGGAGAAGAACGCGCACGTCATTTTCACAATGGCGGAGGCAGGGTGAGGAGCTGAGTGTGTGTGAAGAGGCGCCCAAACCTGTGACACACGTACTGCCCGGTCATCCGCCTAAGCTGTCCGAAAATGGCCCTAAACCCAAAAGCACTGGGCCACAGGGACTCGGACTACACCGCGGCGGGTGGACATAGTGCGGACAGGGGAGAATCTCAGAAGAATACTACCGCCACCTCGGCCACAGCCAACCAAAATGGCGATCAGCCTGGATGTGGAGACCGTGTAATGCCCGAACATGAAGCTCCTGATCGCCGAAGGAATGCTCACTCAGACGCCCGGGGCTTTAGCAGTTCTCCTCTACCGGGCCAGAGACCAAACGAAGAGCTGCCTCGCAAAAATTTCCAAATCCCGAGGAAGATCCGAGAACGGAAAGGTGGCCCCCTTATAGCTATTTTGCACAGAGGCTATCATGGCTCTCATAATTCTTCATGCACGTTGCTAGCTTGTTAGCTAGCAAGGGTTTCTATATATTCTCCAGTATTGCTGACATAAGCATGGGTGATTTTGTGTCTTGTAGCATGTACCACAGCTCTGTCTTGTGGTTCTGAAGCGTGGGCTGGGACAAGACATCGCTCTCGCTGTTGCACAGAGCAGCGGCTACATGCTCCTGTGAAGACCCCAGGAAGATGGCTTTTAGGAATAGTCTGATCAAATAAGGATAATAGTGTTTAGAGTGCTTTATAATACGGGAAATGCATTCTCACGTGCACTATGAATGATAACTTGTGATTGTCACTTTGACCCCAATGAAGGACAAGAGCTAATCCAGCCATTATAACATGTTTGCACCATGCGGCCACTACTTAATGATCAAAGTGTAATTCTGCAGCTCCTGTCTTGTGAAGGCCAGCGAAAGTCATTCATACAGTGTCTCCTGGGTTAGTTTATAATGTACATTGAATATAACTGGACCATTGGACCATATTGACATGATGGTGATGGACAATAATCTAATCGATAAACATGCCGTCAGATAAATAATGCAATGTGTATATAGTATAAACGTTAATGCGTAATGTTTTTAAGGTATATTAACAGTAACATTGTATTGGTGTCAGCAAGGTCCAGAATTATTTGTATCGCCATTATAACAGCAAGTCAGAAACTACGAATTTGTTTTGGTACAAAGTCAATTATAAAAAAGTAAGTACATAAGAAATATGAACACAATTCTAATACATAAATACAAATAATAGACGTTTAACAGTGCAGATTATCAAAGAGTATGCTCATGAATCCCCTTTTTTCCTAAGTGGTTGACGCATTGTAATATTTTGTGTTATCCAAAACTATTATTGAAATCACAAGCCTCAGTATAATTGTCACTATCTGAGAGTGTAGTCTTCTCCCTTGATCTAGTGGCACCTGATGCATGCAAAGCTTTTTCCTGTAGGCAAAGGTTGCTTCACCTGTTTGCATGCTTGGGATTGTCTTGTTCTTTCTCATGAAAAAAATGGCATTATTAAGTAACACCTCTAAAGATGTAATGTTTGGTCGATCTTCTAGGATCAGTCCGAGCTTTACTTCATCAAGGGTTTAGCGGTGGTCTCCAACCTTTTCTACCAGGAGAGATGTTTTATCAGCACACAAAAAAAAAAAAATTCTTTCATTTTTGTTCTGACGTCGTGGTGAGCTATTTTTAGGGTTAGACAGGGTACAGTTACAGATGCCTATAAAACCGTCTCTTGTTAGTGCAGAAGATAAAGTATGTATTTCAAATAGTTGCAGGCATGTAATCTATTTTAATTATTCAGTAGTCATGTATAAATCTTTTTGCGGAGCTACTTGTTGTCATAGTATGTTGAAAGATTTAACTAGCAATTCGCATTTCCCTCTGAAGGCAGTGTTTGGTGCCAATTTGTTGTACTGTTTACGTGTCAAGCTAACAACTGATCTTTTGCTCATAGATGTATCTTTCTGTTCCCAGGCCTGTACCAGTTTCTACCTCCAGACAGTAGAGAGTTTGAGGATCTCGTGAAGACCATTTCCTCTTTTTACCTGGATTCAGCGTCGCGGGGAACGTTCACGTACTGCAAGGCCAGACTCATCCACAATGAGCTGCTGGAGAAAGAGGTATCACATGCTGTACAGAAGTTTTTGGAGAAACTTGGAATGAAATAGGCTGTCGTTCTGATAAAGGATTGGGTATATACATGATATTAAAATGCCTAGATGTTGATAGTTTTAGGATCATAGACTGTATATTAAGAATGGACTGATCATAGAGTTTGCCAAACTGCAGAAGAAACCAGATTTGAACATAACCTAGCTAGAACCAATTCCCTTATATTTGCATTATGTCCGACAAGGCTGGCTTTGAGTTGTAACCGGGGCAGATGCCAACTAAGGTGTTGCTAATGTAGTTGCTAAGGTTGGAGTTTCTTGACTCTTGGCAATAATGACAATGTTCTTTTATTTGAATATTTCTGTCGGAGTAAAATCAATAGCCCACAAAACAAAGGAAGGTGGCTCACCTCATAATCAAGAGACCATGGTTTGTCTTTCTATCCATGTGATTTGATCTAGTTCTTTGCAACTTTTTTGAATATGTCAGTTATTGCAAATGATCTGGGCAGGAACACATAACATAGTAGCAATAAGAAATTTGCATAGTAATGAAGTCTATATACCAATATGTTTTTGCTCCTGGGCTCATTGAGTGATATCTTCTTGTAACAATTGAGACTGTGTGTGACACAGTTCAAAAGGTAAAAAGAGTCATAGATGAGAAACATTTTAAGACAAGAAAATTATGTTTACATATTTTTGTGTTCTAGTTTGTCGAGAAGAGGCGAGAAATGAAGCAAGACGGTCGAAGTGAACCAGAGCTGGTGGAGTCGTACTGCTTTCTGTATCCAGACAAATCTAAAGTAAGTCTTTGTATATATTTATTAGGGCTGTCAAAATGATCGCGTTAACACATGTTAATTAATATTTTTCAATAATTAATATTTTTAGTTAAATTATTTTTTTTTTTTATTACGCGATTGACGCATGCCCATGAATCCCATAATAACACTCAGAATACCGCAGACACGTGCGTGTGTAAGATGGTGACAGAGCAGGTAGGCCCTCCGGGAATCCAAAGTTTTAAAAGAATACACACATGACTGCGAGGTATGAACTCTGCGAGCTGAGCTGCGGGCCCTCTGGACAGCAGTTCCTCCAGCGGCTGTGATCACGGCCAACGGCGCCGCTGGATCGTCATATCCAATATCTAATTGGATATTGGTATCTAGAACTATTCTCTGCTTGTAATGTGCGTGTCTTTGCGTAACCGGTGCACACAATATATAGGCAAGGCAAGTTTATTTGTATAGCACAATTCATACACAAGGCAACTCAAAGTGCTGAACAAAACAAGAAAGCATTAAAATCATAAATTGTCCAACACTTCTGAAGTTGGACAAGGGAGCCTCAGTCTTCTGCGCACATTTAGCGCACTCGCTAAATTAAAGCGGGGGTACCTAATTTTCCCTTCCACTACCAGTTCATGTTGGTTGTGCCAAAAAAAAGTAATGGTGTGAGCAAATCAAACAGATTTAATGACCTTCTGCATTTCAGACTGTTTTGAAATGTCATCTGTAAGTGGTCTGAGTCACTACTGAAAGACAGAATGTTTATAATGTTAGTGCCATTTTATGTGGATTTATTGTTTAATTAACAAATACACTATGTACACTATGCTGTCATTTATCTTTCCCTTCAAACAACCATTTACAGAAAAATATGGCATTATTTTGCCGATAGTTTGAAATGCGATTCATTACGATACATTTTTAAGCTGTAATTAACTCGATTAAAAATTGTAATTGTTTGACAGCCGTATCATTTATACGACCATCATGTATAATGACATATGTTAAATGTTCACGTTTTTAACCATTGATTATTTATCTTGTCTAGCTCCAGTGGATCTGTGAGAAGGGTTTGTCTGTAGGACACTCAAGAATCATCACTCTCGGCAATCCATCATCTGGTGAGTATGAAATGTGTCTCCTTTTTCCTTGTGTTTAGGTGAAAATGTAAAATTCATTTGTTTATTTTGGGTGAATAACAGAAACATTCTTCCTAATGTGTATTTTGCAACATTTCCTTTAGGCAAGGCAAGTCGATTTGTATAGCACAGTTTACACAAGGCAGCTCAAAGTGCTTAACTAAACAAGATCATAAAAGGCAATAGAATAAAGTTATTTACAGTACTATTCACAGTACATTAAGTTTAGTGAAGATGCAATCATGACAATCATTACACGCACAGTGAGATACATCAGGCCTTTGTTTAGTTGTTGATAATGGGCTCCGAGCTGTAAACCCCCGAAAAAGTCTCAGAATATCAATAATTTGAAAAATGGACTATAAGTCAGAAAAAGTCTAAATAACAAAGTATTCACATGTGTCATTTTGTTTGGAAGAAGTCTGCCATATATTATATACACACATTTTTGAACAATATTCTATTTTCACCCGTATATTTACATTTACATTCATACTCCTTATTACGGGATACATTTATACACTTATCACCAGAGCCTTTTCTAATCTACCTTTCGCTATTATATATATTTATATATTCATTATAATGCATGACTTTTGTATCTATTTTTGACTGCGTTACAACTTATTTGTACCATTCATCAAAGTATATTCCTAGTTTCTGATATCCTGTTACTTACAATGGCACTCTGATATTACAAAAGCTTTCTGATATGAAGAAGTAAAACGTATACATTACCACTTCATAAGTCATAATTTACAATAGTTTACAATATTGTGGTCCATGAAATGCAGTCTTTATGTATTGAACCTTTTATTATTTAATTCTGTTTTCTCTCCAGGCGTTTACCTCTCCAAGTATTCAGACTTATTACAAATTAACCCGTTTGACCCTGGCTCGTTTGGGGACATGATGGTCTTCAAAGTCATGAGGGTGAGTTCAGCCTCGTGCTTGGACTGATACGCTAACAATAACACACAGACATTACATTTCTTTTTTTTTTCTTTTTAGGGTCGAATAAAGCACATTCACGAGAATATGCCTAAAAACGCCATTGAGCCTAATCAGAAGTTTGACTGTCACCTGTCCAAACGTGCCAACCGAGTAACATCGCTGCTGTCTTATAGGGCTTTCGAACACACACAGGTGAATGCGGAAGATTCCTAGCTTCTCTCATTTATGTACTTGTCTGGTTTGATCTATGTACTCGTCCGGCGCACATGTATTCCATTGTGGTTTTAACTGCGACCTGGCAACTGTGACTCTTTGGCCTCTTCCAATACTGTCTTTTTCATTCTCAGCAATACTTTTTCGAGTTTGCGTTTGACGAAATAAAGGCAAGACCCCGACACGTGTGCCCCTATGCGGTCATCTCCTTCCAGTACAAAGGGAAAGAGGGGGTCGCCACACCAATGTCTGCCCATAGGTACGTTAGAGAAGCGGCAAAAGAAGTTTATTTATGCGGAACTGTTTTGTGACGTTATGTTGTGTTTTTTACAGGTTTAACACCATTACACCTGAAGGAAGTCGAGGTAAAAAGAGTTTATGTTTAAAGCTGGGGTACCTAACTTTTTGCAATAAATAGCACAGAAAGAGTCTTATTAGAAAATGTGTTATCTTTTACATATTTGCATACAGCCTTGTGTTTGATAACGGTTATAGTTTTTGTGATTTGAAAGTTCTGTCCCCCAGCTTTCATATAAAGGACATGTAGGTTTATGTATACTGCTGTCTGTCGCATCGCTGCTCTTTGATAGATTTGATTTATCCCAATAGTATGAACAGGAATCAATTACAGCTTTTACATATTATACATGATGGATACATACATTTAAGTGTTTCCCTTTTTCACTCCGGTCAATGCTCAAAAAGGAGTGGGAAGATGTCAAACTTATAAGCTCCCACCCCCTAGACTTAAATTCACATTATACGGTTGCACACACATACATATACCGTACATATACATACAGACATAAACATACATATAAGATAAGATACACTTTATTGATCTCACAATGGAGAAATATACATGTACACAAGTTAATATATAGTCTCTTTAGGACAAAATATTTGATTCATACTTATACACATCTTGCATATCACATATCGAAACGCATATATCACATTCCGATCATATCATATCATATCAGAATGCTTATCAAATGCATACTTATACACATCTTTGAACGTATTTGTTTCTTTTGCACCCTTTAGGGAAGAGCTGTTACACTGTTTGGAGCGGGCCTCTCGTGAACAAGGGTGAAGAGCTGTTCCCCGTCTGTTTACGGTCCTCGCGGCCTTGCCTTCCTTTTAAACTGTGCGTATAACCATCTGAAATGCATTTTTATTGAAGAGCAAATTGGGCTTACCTGGAGCCATGTCACTTTCCTCTGTAGATCTGAAAAGCTGGATGTGAATCAGGGCATGCAGCTGGATCAGGTGAAGAGGAAGATTCCCTCAATACTGTTTTCTTCGGAGACCTACCTTTCATCACGAGAAGGTCAGTCCGGAGGCGGCCACTGCTGCACAAGGCGCTTTTCTCCCAGAGCTGTATCTGTCCTTGTTTTGGACCCATATTTGACCCAAGTGACAGTAAATGATTCGTACTTCACCTGACCAGAACTAGATCAAGATCAAATTATCGTTCATCTACTTCTGGGATTCAACTTAATGTGAATCAGGACTTTTTTGTTAAAATGCTTGTTAAAACTAAATTAAAACAGAATCTCAGAAAATTTCAATATTTTCAATCTGTTAGCCATAATCATTAAAACTTTAGCTAAAACTAGAGCTTCCCTTTCTTCCAAATACACAGCGTCCACAAAAGTCATCACCCACTGACGACGGGAGTGAGGGGGAATTCCACCTTCTCTCGATCCTCTTTTCGGTGGCCGTAAGCCCCGCCAGAACCCTTTTTGATTTGTCCTGTTCATTCCCAGCCGAGAAAAGTGATTCAGGAAAACCAGGGGAGATCTGGGGGCCAGGTAGAACATGAGGGCGGCGTTAAGTCCTATGTTCAAACCTCAAAACCATCTGTTGGTGGGTTTTAGCGGAACAGAACAGTGTCTCGGTCCACAAGTAGAATTGGAATCTGCTCTATAAGCAGTGGTACATATGTCTGTCCCTTCCTATGAGAATACAGTTTAGAAACCACACTCTTAAAATCCATGTGTACCATCTACAAATGAGCTACACTTTCTTATAAACGCCCCATCAGAAGGGGAAGTAAGAATATAGAAGTTGATTTTTGGGTTTCGTTTTTGTCATTTGACTCCAGATCCAGCCTGATTGCAAGGCTAACATTAATATCCTGGTTGATATTAATACATTTCTTTTTTGTGTTTTTTTTGCAGTGATGAGGTGCGGGATGTGGTGCAGCTTGTTTGACATTGTAGAAGGAAAAGGCAGACCCAGTAAAGGCAGCCTGGCAGCTCTGGTCAACAAACTGGAGAGAGACAGACTGGTGAGTTTCCTTCAGCTCACTGCAGCATCAGCACGTGTGTTCGGAAGTGCAGCTGCGCGATTAATCTCAAGCGCTAAGACTGCAATTATTTGTGTTCTATGCATTTAAAAGGAGACTAAAGTTGAGCAGAATATCACTTGATATTAGGAAAATGTCTCTTTGTCTTCTGTCTTGTGTTGTGAAGACGCATTATTTTCTCTTTCCAATAGAGACATCTCATCTTTTCTTATGAGATTCCAAGGAATAAAGTGTGTTGTAAATTATTATTAATAACAATAATGATGATAAGTCTATTATATTTTTCCAATACTAAGAAACAGTATTAATCATAGAAAATAGTAATAGTAATGATATTTAATAAAAGCATTGGTCCAAACTGTCAAATGTCTTTATTATAAAAGATTTAAAAAAATTCAAAACAAAAATTCAAACAAAAATGGTTGCAGTATAAGTTAGAAAGAATTCATTTTTTCAAAAGAAAATTGTTATTCAGAAATACCACAGTAAAAATGCAATGAAACCAGACCAGGCTCGCTCTCTCTCCACCGAACGCCTCTTATTCCTACACACATGGTTTCATAGCAACGTCATGTCTAATGCACTTTATCTTTTTATGCTTACAAATGCAGATAAAAATAAGTATGACCTATGAATTATACACTTTGCCGGGTGCAGGTGCAGGCCTATTGTTGTGCTGCAGTAGACTTAACACAGATGTAGATTCTGACTGTGGCGTTTTCCTCCAGGTGCTCGTGAAGGCCTTGTCTGATCGGGGTTTTCTCTTCCTCCTGTCCTCGGCTCAGATGCACGATTCCAAAGGTGCCGTTTCACCCCGAGTCTGTTCTAAACACTGTGTGCCGTTTTTCTGCCTCTGGTAAAATTGTGAGCCTTTAATATCTCTTGTCTGTTTTGCAGAGCGCTGGGGGAAGGTGGAGAGAAACCTACAAGCGCTATTCATCTTTCAGGAGCCGAGAGTGGTGGCAAAGTATAGTAAGTGGGAGTTGTGATTTTTCAATTGTACAAAAACGGCTTTGCGCGCTACAGTCGTCTTTGAGCAAATGATTCTATTCCTACTTATTTATGAGCGCAATTCAATTTGTTTTTGCATAGCCCTAAATCCAAACTGTGAAGATATCGGAGGACTTTACAAAACTGTTGATTTGCCAACACAGATCAGAGAATCAAACCGTTCAAACACATAGAGCCATTGGTCAATTAGGGACGGATGACTAATGTCCATAAATGTCATTGAATGTCGATTGTCCTTGATCATCCCCATTATCATTATATCAAACTTAGAATAGTGTCGTCAGCAAGGACTAAAAGGCTTTAATTTTTATGAAACGGATTGGATTTCAACATTTCTGAATGTATACAAAAATATGTATTATTGCATAGTGCACATTAAAGCTGGTGTACCCAACTTTCAAACCAGATGTATCTGTATATGGTATGATCTATGTCATACTATCCATCCAACTTTTTCCTAGCTCTAAACCCAGTTTGATACTGTGACTCGTTTTTACACGCCTGTCTCATCTTTAGGTCAGACTTTTCAGACAGAAAAGAGAAAGGGGGGGGGGACTCAGCCAATGAGTTCTCAACCCATTGGTTAACTAGTTTGCATGCAACCATGTTGTGGTCTGATTTTTTTCCCGAGACTTTAAAAATCTTTTTGTTGTTACGTACAGAGAGGATTATTTACAAAACTATATGTTGGGTAACCCTCCTATAGATTTTAATGAAACTGTGTTTTATAGACCAAAACAGCTTTTAACTTTCCCCTCTTTTTGTTTTGAACGTAGCGGCCCGGCTGAGTGAGCCTGAGCCACTGTACATGGAGCCCTATTCATCGATCTTGTCCGGGACGGAGCCCTTCCTGCCGGGTATCCATTACTCAATGTTCAAACTTCGCCCAAACCCGGGAAAAGACATGAGCGCCGCCGTGGAGCGTCAAACCACAGACTATTTGACACGCATGCAGTCCGCCTCAGTACGTCCTTTCATTCTGCCGGACTATAAAAGCGGCCTGGACGACAGGATTAACCCTTTGCTAGCTCCGACTCGGCCCAAGTTCAACATGGACGCCGCACTTCGAACATATGTCCATAACTCTTGTAACTACATGATGCCTATACATAAAGCTAAGGACGTCATAGAGCGAGTACGTAACCCCGTCCCTGTAGTCATCGAGGCCGCGCCCGAGCCCGAGTACAGCCCTGTGTCCGACTGGGGAGGCTCGGATCGAGGTTCGGACAGGGTGGAGAAACCGCCGGACAAGCCTCCAGAGATCGTCCCACAGGAAAGGCCTCCTCCGGACAAGCGCACAGAGAAGAAGAAGCAGACGCAGCAGCAGCAGCAACAGCCGGGAGTGGCACATTCAAACGGCGGGCAAGTTCAGGTCCCGGCCCCCGCAGAGAAAAGTCCCAGTCCCAGTCCCAAACCGACCATGACCCAGGGGGAGTACGACGAAGAGAAGATGAAGAAGCTGCTCAAGCTCATTCAGATCCACAAGAAAACACGCGTGAAGGAGCCCGGGGCCGAGGAGGACGACGAGGACTGGAGCAACGACTTGAACAATTTAAAGAGGAAATATGAAGGAGACGAGCCAGCGGGGACGAACAAACACCAGCGCATAGACTCTCTCACCAACGGAGAGCCCAGCCAAGGTGAGGCCAAGTCCACAGGCAAATTGTTAACTGCCTTTCCATAGGCAGATAAAAATTGTCTATAACACTAGAAGTTTCTATTCTTGGCGCAATGTCTCTTATGTGTTCAAAATATATATATTTTTAATTAAATATATGGTTTGCAATCACTATGCAATCACTAAGTGTGCAAATCTAGCTGTAATGATTGTATGCGGGGGTCATAGATCAGCCAACAGATGCAAACTTTTAATCATCTGTTAGATACACGTAGTGAGACTCGACCCGGATCGGTACCAGACCCGGACCAAGCCAGGTCTCGACTAACCTGCCTATGAGGACAGCCACATTTTTCTACATTAGAACTAATTTATGCCATAGCTTTGATCTGAAATCAGGACCTAGCGCTGATGTCACAGCTTTGTGCTCCGGTGCGTGAAGTGGATGATGAGATAATGAGAGCGGCAGAAATTCGTTTTTTTACATAAATTATTAGAAAAGCAGAAAAGAATATCTCAGATTTTGCAGCAGAGGGCAAAACAAATCACAGCCTTAGAAGCGACCTCAATGCTCGGAAAGCACTAGCGAGAACCATGCACATTGAGTTGCATGTAGCTGTGCGCAGTGTGCTATATAAATCAATAATCATCTTGTTGATATTGGTATCAAAATCACCTTGCACAAACAAACGCATCTTGTGTTCGGCTCTTCAGGATCCCAGGGCATTGTTCACGACGGCGCTCAGAAGGAGGGTTTGATCTCTGTGATGGAGAGGATCGGTTACGACACGGACCTGAGGGCGCACGGCACGCAGGGAACGGCCGTCAGCGAGACCCAAAACCTGCTCAAGATCCTGCTGGCCACTCTCAACAAGGCCGTGGCTCAGGGCGCAACGCCGAACAAAGACGGCTCAGGCTCCGTCACCCCCAACGCCGACCAAAAGAAGACCCACGATCTGACAGCACCGGCGGACTACACTGAGGTACACGTTTTACGATGTCTACGTAGATATTGAAAATGTCTGCGTTCTGTTTTTAACCAGCGACGATGTGCTTTTCCTTAGGAGGACATGGATTGTAGTCCTGGAAGCCCATTCAGTGCAGCCTCACCAATGCAGTCAGAAAACCTCAACTGTGTTACTGCTAATTCTGGAGGTACGCGATCAGTGACTAAGTTCCAAGTTACACTTTATTTATCCCTGTCTCTGTCCTCTGCATTTGACTCATCCTGCAAAGCCACTATGGCGTCTGTCAGAAGCAGTGGTCAATGTAGTACAGACTCATCTCCAGGAGTTGGAGGATTTTACCAATTGTACGTGTTTTTAGTGGTAGGGAAAACTACACCCAGAGAGATCCTATGCAGACACTGGGAGAACATGCAAACTCCAGTCAGAAAGGCACTATTCCAACCTGGATTCTAACCCTGAATCTTCTTGCTAAGAAGAGTGCTACCCATACCAGCCTACAAACCTAGTCAATTCAACGAGTCAAACTATTTGGATAGTTTTAGATAGTTTGCACCACACTTTTGAAAACCTTTGGGAGCACAATGTGGCATACACGTTGGAAATAAATGATTGACACATTTTAGTCAGTCCAAACTGGTCTGATCAACTGGACTGATTTTATCGACTAAAAAGGACGACATACCTCAGGGCTGAACGTTATGGCCAAAAATAATCTCTCTATTTGTACCAGATATCACTATAATGATATGATACAACATAACTCGTTTGTGGTTGGCTGGCCATAGTCCGGCATTCAATAGAAATCATAAAAATGATGTTTGTTGTGACTGCCAGAGCTGTACATGCAGGAAGAGCAAGGGGGAAATCCAGTGTTTTTAATGTCTTTTTCAATATGAGTTTGTTTCTGTTTGTTACTGATGATTCTATTTGCTTCCTGCATGGATATAGAGCCTTTGTCTGCGGAGCTACTGAAGAAAATAAAGTCGGAGATGAAATCTGAAATCAAAACTGAATCTAAGCCAGACGTGAAGCTTGACATGAAGCCGGAACTGAAGCCAAACGCAAAGCCAAGCGCAAAGATCGACTTAGACCGACACGTCAAGACGGAGGTGAAGATGGAGGTGGAGGCCGAGCCGCTGAGGCCGAAGCTGGAGGTGAAAAAGACTGTACCTCCAGTGTTACCTGTAGTGGAGGAGATCCCGACCGCGCGGCCTTCCATTAGCCTGGACACCATCCTCAATCAGGAAGTGTACAGCTTGACGTCGGACATCAAAAGCTTGATGCAAAGCCGCCACGTTTCCTACAACTCCAATCTGCCGCCACGGTTACCCAAGAGGCACAGCTGGCATCCCAACAGCAGTTTCTCCCGCTTCGTCATCCCCTACGCCGGTCCAGTGTCTGTCGATAGCCACGTCAAAATACTGAGCGATAGGATAGGTAAGCTCGTCCCCGTGTCGTCAACGGAGGATTCTGCCTCAGTCCTCCCAGTTTCTACATCTGACATCACAGTAACTACCCTCAACCCGCCCTCCGAGATGCCCGAACCCTCTCCGCGCGCCACGTCCACCACCCCAGCTGTAAAAACAGTCCAACAAAAGCCCAAGGTGAAATCGGAGGGGCCTAAATCTGAAGTGAAGGAGATGTATTCGCCCACGTTCACCACGCCTGACTCTCCAGAGCGACGGCAGGAGGCGCAGAAGCCCTCTCCCAGTGGGGGCGCCAGTGGGGGTGGGCTGCTGGCCGGGAGCCTCATAGGCCACCTCAAGCCAGAAGTGTTCAGCAGCCTGGTGGAGATCTTCAAAGACGTCACCAAAAACACGGTCAAGTTCTTCATCTACTCCGGAGAGGAAGCCGAGGAAAGCACCGTCTGCAAAGAGATCAAGGTACAATGAGGGTTTTGTGGTAGTCGCCTAAATATGGGTGGGGTCAAATTTAGCATAACGCATTTCTATTTATGGGAGATTCAAGATGCACCAGAGCTCTTGCCATAAAATCTAACTCGGGAGGGGTTCCTCAAACTGGTTCCTCAAAGAGCCAAGGAACTGGCCTCCGGATTTCATTCCAACCCAGCAGGAGCACACCAGACTCCACCAATTCCCTCAAGTGGGTCCAGTCTTACCCTGAAGACTGTTACTGTTTAGAAGGCAAAAGATGACATGTTTTCTTAAGATGAGGATTTTTTGTACGTACGCACATTATCATATCATGTCTTCATTATCATTATTATTTGTTATTTTAAATTTGTGTCGGTGATGTTGATTCTATGTTTAAGTCTGATTTGTTCGACTTTTACAAGACACATACAAAATCCTATATTTATTAAGATTGAGATCCTCTATTCGCCCTACAGTATCAAACGTTACTGAAGAGTAGAAATGAGGGGGAAAATAGCAAAACTCTATACATTATAAAAAAACAATCAAACAATGTCCCCATCTTAAGCTTAATAAAGAAACTTAAGTATAAAAAGTTTACACATATAATGAGATTAAGAAAACCTTTATTCGTCCAACTGTGGGGAAATTTCAGTACATGGTATTAATCTTCGATACTCAAGAACACAGACATATATAATTGAATGTATAAACCTATAGCTCAATCTGTAATCAGTATTATAAAGTATTGGGTTGTGCAATACTTATTCGCTTGTGTGCGCTCCTCAAACCCACTGTTGCCTAACTTGTGATGCAACGCTGCAATTTCCCCACTCCGGGACGAATAAAGGATCTCTTCATCTTAATGTCATTCGCTCGGTGGGTTCAAATATCCACAGTGATGAAAGAAAAAAGTAACACACCCCAGCTCGTCTTGACCGGGAGCTCCCCTGATCAACTTACAGTGGTCCATTTTTGAAAGCACGTCTATGAGCGGTGCTGGGTTCTGTCTGTACTGCTGCTGCTGCTGCGTCTGTGTGTCCGGCGCTGAACAAACCCCTCTTCTGTCTTGTTAAAGGAGTACTTGATCAGCCTGGGCAACAGTGAGAGCAGCCCGCAGACGTTCCTGGAGAACAGTGGCAGTTTAGATAAGCTGCTGATCATCATTCAGAACGAACACATCGCCGCCCACGTGCATAAGGTGAGCTTTGTCTTATCCATTTGTTGAACCAGGAAATCTCATTCAAGTGAAGAAACCTCTATTATTTTTAAGCCGGTCCTGACCTGGAGACAGCCGCAACATAGAAAATCAAATGACAAAAGAATCCAGGGGGCAAGCAAAACAATTACAGATTAGCGAGGCAGTCCTTAGTAAGCTTTATTTATATACCGCCTTTCACAGACCAGAGTCACAAAGCGGTTTACAATTGTTATTTTTTTGGGCACTTGTCCTCTCACTCCACACAGAGATGGGAGCGGGGTCGCCGAACAGGAGGCGCATGCCAGACCTATTGTACATATTTTTAGTGGTAGGGGAAACCGGAGGAAACCTACGCAGACACGGGGAGAACATGCAAACTCCACTCAGAAAGGCCCTGGTCCGGCCGGGATTCGAACCCAGGACCTTCTTGCTGAGAGGCGAGAGTGCTATCCACTCAGCCATCGTGCCGCCAAATTAATGCTCTTAATGCTCTTGGTTTCGATTTTAAAAAGGCATTTAAAGTTTCGATTTTAAAAAGGCATTTAAAGATAAAACGGTCAATTTCCAGTCTCTTTTGTTCCAGACAGAGGCAGCGGCATAGACAAAGGGCTGTGAATTATGTATGCAACAACATTTCCGTAGTGGAAAGTGGAAATCTTAAATCCAGGATATTTATGCACATTTATTGACATGGACCCCATGGACCAATGACTCTTATGTCTTTGTTTTTTTATTTATTTCTTACATTCAAACTTTTAAATTCTGCGATCTGTTGTTGGTGAATTGACAAGTTCGTAAAGTCCTCTGACACAAACGCTATTGTGATATAGGGCTATACAAAAATAATATATATATATATTGATATATCTCTATCTATTTATATATTGTGCAAATTATTGGGCAGGATAAGTAGATAAAGTTACATTTTGAATGATATTTGACCAGATACGTGACTTGTTTAATCCACTTGGGGCTGGACTGGGCTTCCCCGGTGTACTGTAGTTGGGGCTGCCACCTGGCAAAACTCAGCTCTGTTCTGATTGGCAATTTCCCAATTGAAAGAACTGCCATCCAACAGAGCTTTGGCTTGAGGATGAGTGTGTCATTGTGTTGGACCTGCACAAAATTGTTATACAAAGTTGTTTCAGTTGCATTCTAATCATAGACCATAGAAGAAGTGGACTAACCCGATGCTGGTGTCACCCATTGTGTTTATTTTGTTGTGAAGGAAGCTGGGTAGAGCTTCCTCGGACAGGCTATTTTAGCAGAAATCTGGAGCCATATGTGTGGAATTTTGTTGGTAGCAATGACCGAGCAAACAAAAGTCTGAAACGGTGCCCCACTCACACTATTCTCTCAAGATCGCCAAAGTGGAGGACAGAAGGCTCCTGATTGGCCAGTTATTACAGGAGAAATCTGGATTCAGGAAGACAATAACACAATAAATAAATCAGTCAATCAATCTTTTTTTATAGAGTGCTTTTCCTACTCAGGGTAACACAAAGCGCTTCACAGTCCACACCACACAAAGCACAAATCATCATATAAAACAAAATCAAAATATAAACACCAGGATCACAGAAAGCATTAAACCATTGATCTTTTGAGCCCAAGCTAACGTGTTACACAAACAGGCACTGAGCTAGAGAAGTTTACGTTTCAATGGCAGTAAGAGCCCTAGTGAGTTGGAGTAAAACTTTGTCCATGAGCCCTTCCCTAGTGGACATCATTGAGCTAAGGGGTTGGCATTGTGAAGTGGTAGTAGTAAGAATTTTCATTTCATACGTTTGCAAAAAGGGAAAAATGTAGCCTATATTATTAGTTTTTTTAATTTATCTGAGCACAGTGTTACAGGCTATACTAGATTTGTGCATTTACAGGACAAAAAACTCAATACTCTGATTTTATTTTTGTACAGTTTATACCTTCCACTTCTTCTCTCTGATAATGGCTTGTGTCGCTTTGAAACAATAGTCCGTCTTATGACTGCAGCCGCGTGTAACATTTACCTCTTGCTGCAGATCCCGGCGCTCGTGTCTCTAAAGAAGCTTCCCGCAGTGAGTTTCGCTGGAGTCGATTCTCTGGACGACGTCAAAAACCACACGTACAACGAGCTCTTCGTGTCCGGGGGCTTCATGGTGTCGGACGAGTTTGTGCTCAACCCCGAGTCCATCACCCAGGGTAACGTTTCGAATCCCTCTCTCGGTGGGAAGTCACGGCCGGAGCTGTCGGCTAGTCGTGCTGATGACTCATTTTTTTCTGTCCAGATCGTCTGCAAATGCTGCTTACGTTTTTAGAAGAGCAGAGCACCCCGGAGCACCCCTGGCAGTGGAAGGTGCATTGCAAGTCACAGAAGAAATTGAAGGAAATGGGAAGGTGAGTAAGGCAGGCAACGTTACGAATTGAAGAAGGATTGTGGGGGGGAAATGGCGTTTTCTCCCAATTTTTGGCGTTCAACTGCAAGTTTCAATATATAATAATAATATATAGTGTTGGGAAAAACAAGATTCACAATAAGCAGAACAGCATCTCTGTTTATAGTATATACACTGCAAAAATGACAAAATATGAGGTAATATTGCTTAGTGTCTTAAAACAAGATTTGCCAATGCGACAAAGCCATTTAGTCTTATTTCAAGAACTGTTGCTTTAATTTCTCATTCCAATGGAGATATTACTTCCATATTTAGAAAATAAGATCATTTGCTTGTCCCATTGGCAATTATTTTTTTAAGGCAGTCTAAATGTGCTCAAATTAAGATTAAATTTGCATTTTTCCACACTTTTTGCAGTGTAATTCTATGTATGTAAGGTGCAACTATGCTTTAGTCCCAGAATGCTTTTCTCTCTCTCAGGCTCAATGCAAACGCTATGGGGCTGTTGAATCTCCTGAGCTCATATCAGAAGAAGCACTTGGTGGAGTTCTTGCCGTATCACGACTGCGACACGGCGTCGCGGCAGGCACCGGATCTTGATTGTCTTATAAAACTCCAAGCTCAGCACACGCAGCAGCGGCACCTCATCTTCCTCACGGGTAACATTCTTCTTAAAGGTTCAGCTTTGTTTTTCCAGGTTCATTGTAACATTCCCAATGGTTTGTATCCACAGAGCGTCCGTTTGAGATGTTCCTTCAGTATTCCCGGAACGGCATCGTGATCGCCAGCATTGATGATGTCATGAACAGCTTCCACAGTCTCATTGGCTCGATTAATCAGAGTGACCTCCCCACGCCGCCCTCTACTGGTGAGTTCTGAGGATGACTAGAGTTAAAAACTGCCTTCATAAAGTAGATCAGCGGTCCACAACCCACAGCCCAGTACCGGGCCGCTGGGAAGAATACATAACTTGGACTATGTAATAATTATATAAATAATGTATTCAATAATAATTATAATACTGCTCTTGTTTTAGCCTTACTGTAGCCGCAGCTGTCCTGGGGCACACTGACAGAACCAAGCCAACCACTATGTGCTATCGGCTTCACACACACAATAGTCTCATTCTAGGCATTGTGCAGTGCAGTCATCCTCGTGCGTGGATCAAATCTCTGATATTTAGTGATGATAACACTATTATCAAAACTAAATACTTATTTGCTTAAACATTGATACCACACACATTAAAAAACAGTGCTTTCAAAGCACTTTGTGGTATGTTTAACTAATAGTTTAGTGTAATTTGAATCCAAAATTTAATCCAGATGACAGAAGTTTTTCTATGAATCACTTTTGCAAGAATGAGGAAGCACACATCGAAAGCCTCTTGTTCAGAATGGTACATTACCTCCCTTGCTCTTGGTCATTTCTGTTATTCCAAACATTGTTATGTAATATGTACGGTGGATGAGTGGTTAGCAGTTCTCACTTTATAGCAAGAAGCAAGACCATCCTGGTCGGAACAGGGGCAGTGTTCTGTCGAGTTGGTCTGCCCGTCGAGATGATCTGCCTCAGCTGTTAATGATGTAATCAAACATGTGCGTCTCACGGCAGCCAAAGCAATCAAAGATGGAGGACATGAAGTCTGCAAATTGCTTTAAAAGTTAAAATACAAACGAATTAAGACACAAATGTCACTTTTAATGCAATTTGAGGAGAGATGTTGATGGTTCCGCGTTGTGATATGTGTATTTTAAGAGTAAGAGTTTCGTGTAAAGTTTGTTTTAAGCAGTCCACTGCTCCTGTGAAACTGCACTGCTACTGTTATTATAGCAGTCCCTGAGTTGACTGCTGCATACGTCATTTTACTGACGTAGGCCCATGACGCGTCCTGTGACTGGTCTGTCGGGTTGATAATGGAAATAATACATTAAATTTAATGCATGTGTCATACTGTATTCAATATGTTTAACAATAGTGTGTTCAAACAAAATATTTATTTAGATCGTGTTTTTTCACTATTCGGGGGGGTTTCTGCGCATGCGCAAATCAGATTTGGGTTACACTAGAGGTGTAGTTTCACAGGAGCAGTGGACTGCTTAAAACAAACTTTACACGAAACTCTTACTCTTAAAACCCACATATCACAACGTGGAACCATCAACATCTCGCCTCAAATTGCATTAAAAGTGACATTTGTGTCTTAATTCGTTCGTATTTTAACTTTTAAAGCAATTCGTGGACTACGTGTCCGCCATCTTGGATTGCTTTGGCTGCGGTGAGACGCGCATGCGCAGGTTTGCATTACATCATTAACAGCTGAGGCCGATCATCTCGACGGGCAGACCAACTCGACAGAACACCGGGATGAGTGGAGTTCTCCTCTGGGTGCTCCCCTACCACTAAAAACAGGGGGTGGGCAGTGGTTGCTGTAGTACAACACCAGAATCTACAGATTGTTGTGCTTTTTTGTTTGCTCTTAGATTTTGTGTTTTTAAATTGAAAATACTAAAAGATATAAGCATGTCTAATACCTTAGTTTGTCTTGTTTCTTTTGCAGTTGTGAATGATGAGTGTGTGGAGGAGGACATGTCCATAGACTCAGAGGACGAGGGTGAAGGACCTGGGACTTCAGACGAACAAAGTAAAGTGGGGGAGAAGCCCGCGCCCCCACTTCCCAACACAGAGGAGTTCCGGCCTCCTCTCCCCGAGCAGCAGGGCGCTCCCGATCAGGCGCCCTTGCTGTCCGACTACAGCGCTCTCAAAAGTGTGATCTCCCAATTTAAAGCTGTAAACCAGATTGGACCAGCAGACTTTGGCAGCGTATCCCCCGGAGGATTCCCCGTGAACCCTCACCAGAGCTTCCTCTGCCCCTCCACCCCCTGGTCGTCCTTCACGGGCAGCTCCAGCTACAGCGCGTCCCCCGCCTTCCCCGGCTCTCCCTGCAGCAGCACACAGGAGACAGAGTATCGCCCCATGGTCACGACCCCAGCCACAGCACCCACCACTCCTGCTCCTGTCCCTGCAGAACCTCTGGCAAACCTGGCCTCATTACCCCTGGAAGTGAAAGCCCCGCCCCCGCCGCATCTCATGATGTTGGGCCACACTTATAACTCCGACATCACAGACACTGTGGAGGCCTCTCCTCTACCTCCTCCTCAGCCCTTTTCAGAAAGTGTGGACTACAGTGCAGGCATCACTTCAAACGTCCCCCACGCTCTGGGGGACAGGACACTGGGGCCAGCGGACGGGGGATGGGGGGGGCCTCACCGTATGGACACCAACAGTGAACTTATGGGGGGAAACAGTTGCCCGCCTGTGGACAGGACTCCTTTGCACTTAGACAAACCTGGTCCGCCTGTGGGTATCCCTGCAGCGGACACCAGGGGGAGCTCTTTACCCAGACCTCGAATGCCTCCTCACCACTCGGTGTGCGGCCAGGGCTACAGTGGGTTTGTGCCCGGACATGGACCCATGGACCAGGGGGCTCTACGGGGCCCTATGAATCCAGGGGGGGGTTTCAGGGGGAGGGGGCCACCTCCTGGAGGGCACTGGCCTCGGCCCATGCGGGGAGGGGGCCCTGGGGGGCCTCCATTTTGGGGCTTTCAGGGAGGCAGAGGAAGAGGCAGAGGACACAATTACTACTCGGACTTCTCATACTCTCACAACTATGCTCCTGAATAGACAATCATCTGAAGGGGCAAACTCCAGAGACTTATATGAATGTATATATTTCCTTGTCATAAACCCTAAAAGGTAAATTAGGTTCATCGTTTTCTACATGAGGCCAAGTGTCCTACTGTCACATGTACACTCTCTGTGTGTCAGACCACTATATTTATATTTGCCAACAAATGTTTATGGCCTTCCGGATAATTCTGTTTGTCCCTTGTATGAAAACGGTTTGTGAACTAAGGCACAAGGCTGATATTTTTTTAAGAGAAAAAAAAGTGAAGCAAATGTCACTTTTGCTGTTGGTTTTCTTTTTTATTTGACATTTGGTTGTCCTAAATTCTATAAAATAAAACATTTCAAATATTGTTTGAGTGTGAAAGATTTGATAATGATGCAAATGGAATCATTAAAAACATAAATGTTGATGTTTTTTTACTTTGCTTTCTGCACGTTTCCTGTTGGTAAGAACTGACCAGGATGCATGAGTGACTTTAAAGTCATGTCCTGACATTATTCATGTCTCATCAAAATATTCTTTGTACAAGTTTCAAAATAATCCTAATGTTCTCAAAGTTAATTTTTATGGACAAAGTTAGATGTAACAATAGTTTGTCACTTATTTTTTTATTTGAGAATATTTTGACTCTTATACCTAGTGATAGAACATTTAGCCTTATTTCAAATGCAATACAAGTAGAGTAAGATAGGAGGACATGCATGCATGCTGCACAAAGAACAGAGCAGTGAAAATATCACTGGGAAAAAAAATCTGTTGTGAAGAGAAGCTCTCAGTTTACATGTCAGTCAACATTCCCCGTCTGGTCATAAGCTTTGGGTAATGACTGAAAAAAAATAAAGATTGCAGATACAAGTGTTCCAATTAAGTTTCCTCTGCAGAGAAGCTGGATGCTCCCTTAGATCGCGCGAGGAGCTCGGAGTAAAGCCGCTGCTTCTCCACGTAGAGGAGGCTCATGTCTCTCGACTGGCCTGGGAATGCCTCAGGATTCCTCTGGAGCTGGAGGAAGTGTGGAAAGAGAAGTCAGCCTAGATTTCTACCTGTGCAACCCAGCAACAGGTTGAATGGAAGAAAATGTATGATGAATTTGAATAATATTGCACAAACACACACACACTCACGCACTACACAGACTAACAAATACACACACACTCACGCACACACAGTCCTGAGCCGCAGAAATGATCCAGTCTCATGGGCCGATGCTTCTCCCCGTGAGCCTCTGGAGGGGCCCCTGATGCGGCTCTGAGCGTGTGGCCCTCTCCGCGGGGTCCTCATAGATTTAACTGATTTCTGCTGCTGTGCTTTTTGTCGTGTCTGGAAATCTAATCTGACAAAACGTTTCTGCATAATGTCAGGAGAGCAGTGTGTGAGCAGCGGCTTCAAACTGAGGAAACACCTCTGAGGAAGACGAAGGAGGAGGACAGAGAACAGGATACTGTGTCCTTAGGCAAGACACTTTATCCACATTACCTGTGTGTGTGTGTGTGTCTGTCTGGGGTTGAGTCTGTGGGTGTATGTGTGTTACTGTGTGTGAATGTGTGTGTTTATCTGGGTGAGTCTTTGTGGTGTTTTATATTGCGTGTGTGTTTACGGAGGTATATCTAAGAAGCAACTCTTTGGTTTCTTAAATACATTCTGGTTCAAGATAGATTGATAGATACTTTATTGATCTCTGTAGGAGGAATTTAGGTGTCCCGTAACAGCAAAAAAATAAAATAAAATTGATCATTCTAAAAAGCTAACAATAGTAATAACAACAGCCCTTCAGGTCACAGCAGCAGAGGTGGAGTAGCCTCTGGGTGGAGCAGGACAGGTCACAGCAGCAGAGGTGGAGTAGCCTCTGAGTGGAGCAGGACGGGTCACAGCAGCAGAGGTGGAGTAGTCTCTGGGTGGAGCAGGATGAGTCACAGCAGCAGAGGTGGAGTAGCCTCTGGGTGGAGCAGGACAGGTCACAGCAGCAGAGGTGGAGTAGCCTCTGGGTGGAGCAGGACGGGTCACAGCAGCAGAGGTGGAGTAGCCTCTGGGTGGAGCAGGACGGGTCACAGCAGCAGAGGTGGAGTAGCCTCTGGGTGGAGCAGGACGGGTCAGAGCAGTAGAGGTGGAGTAGTCTCTGGGTGGAGCAGGACGGGTCACAGCAGCAGAGGTGGAGTAGCCTCTGGGTGGAGCAGGACAGGTCACAGCAGCAGAGGTGGAGTAGCCTCTGGGTGGAGCAGGACGGGTCACAGCAGCAGAGGTGGAGTAGTCTCTGGGCGGAGCAGGACGGATCACAGCGGCAGAGGTGGAGTAGCCTCTGGGTGGAGCAGGACAGGTCACAGCAGCAGAGGTGGAGTAGCCTCTGGGTGGAGCAGGACAGGTCACAGCAGCAGAGGTGGAGTAGCCTCTGGGTGGAGCAGGACAGGTCACAGCAGCAGAGGTGGAGTAGCCTCTGGGTGGAGCAGGACAGGTCACAGCAGCAGAGGTGGAGTAGCCTCTGGGTGGAGCAGGACAGGTCACAGCAGCAGAGGTGGAGTAGCCTCTGGGTTGTGCAGGACAGGTCACAGCAGCAGAGGTGGAGTAGACGCTGAGTTCGAACCATTTTCTCTGCTCTGGTCCAAAGTAAAACGCTGAATGTTTCATTTGCATTTTTCAAAAAGTTAGCATTCTAGTAATATTATGTGAACAAATAAGTTCTCAACATATTCATAAGAATCTTTTACAGACTGAGAACTGATCAAAAATACACTAAGTTCATTTTCAGACAAATTCAGAAAAAGTTTGCTTTGAATATACATTTTACAAGACAGATTAAGGTACTTGTAGCGCTTGTGATTCACAGCAAGTAGGTCCTAGTAGGGTAAATAAAGGTCAACACAAATCTATAGATACGTCTGTAGTAATAAAGGTAGTTAGAAGAAATAAGACAGGGTAACTCAACGTAGGTCTCTTAGGTTAAGTAGAAAAGCTATTTTTTTTATTCATTTGGATGCAGACTATTACATATAAGATACTTTTTAGTGCAGTAACATTAGAAAAAACACCCATGTTTGTCACAGTCTATGTAATGCATAGAGTTAACAACAGGGGGCGCTGCTGCAGTCATTTCATTCAAGGCCAGAAACAGAACCTCAACCTCACACGTGTTGTTTGCATTGATCATAAACAAATCAATGTTGGGGGGCAGACCAGTGAGCAGGGCATCACAGAAGTCCATGACGTTAAGAATACCACGTCGTCCATCGGGTAAATGAACTTGTTTATCCGCAATTGTGCACTTTTTAGTCCGTGAGAACTTCAGGGTTTATTGATTGTTGAGTCAGAAACCCGCTTCGCCTCTGGGTTTGGGTTTATGTCATCTTAAGTGTAAGATTTTTGCCACAACAGCAGATGTTTATAAACTGGAGGGAAAAATACTTGTAAAATTGATTGCTGTGTAAATGACTAGATTCCTCCTGGGTTGACAGCAGCTGTTCAGAAAGATCCATGTTCAGTGCCGCTGGTATTTTGGACTCGTTGAAAGGAGAAAGTGGTTTCAGTTCTGTGTCTTGTTTCCCTGTGTGTGAAGGATCAAAGCTGACCTGGAATCTGTCACAGCAGCAGGAGAGGAGGTTGAAGAGGACAACGCGTCAGGTCTGTGCAATTATTCCCTTCACAACTTAAGACAGGTTCTTATAATCAAACACGAAGTCAAATTAAAAATGCAAAAACACCCAGTGACACACCAACAAACACAAACAAACATCAGGTGATCTTTGAACTCATTGTAGATGCATGTGTTTAAAGTGAAGGAGAAACACAAGAAATATTAAAGATGCAGTCAGTGATTTTTTTCCAGACACATTTTTTGAAATTGTCCCTAAACCTTAAAAGTAGTCAAGTTATCATGTGTTTTCAAATAGTAATGGAATTGACCAGATTCCTATATTCTCCAAAAATTAATAAAACATATTTTGGAGCGGACTGATAAAAATAAACCAATGGGATGCGTTTGCCCCCTTCACCCTCTTCCTGTTTCTCGCGAGTGAACCTGAGTTATCGGATTTTCTAAAACCTAAAATGGCTGAACAGAAAATGCCAATTTCACGTTTTGCCACCCACTCTCCCAAAGAAAAGAAAATGCTGGATGTTTGGTTTGGTGGAGAGAGAGGCAAGGGGAGGGGGAGTGGTTTCCAGTTGGTGCTGCGGCTAAGCTAACAAAATAGCTTATTGCTCCTTTAATGATTTAATTCAATTCAATGTATTTTTGTATAGAACTAAATCACAACAGCGCAAGTCTCAGAGGACTTTACAAAGTTATCAATTCCTAAACGACAGCTCAGAGAATCAAACCGTTTGAACACAAGAAATACAATATTAACAAACATATGAATAGTTTATATAAAAAACCGCTAAGTGCCATTAGAAACATATCGGAATAGCTTAACATTTGCTCTTTACTAGTAATTTTATAAAAAGCCAGATCTATTTTAGCGCCATACAAATAATGTGTCACCCATTTTTGAGCAAATTCTTCCAAGTGTACTGCCAGCAACGAAACATCTTGAAGGTTGTAACTCGAGGAATACTATATTTGGACGACATTTCTAAATGGAGATATCTGTTTTTGCAAATGAACTCTTCGTATAGGAACCCCATTGGTCCATAGGGAGAGGGATGACCAAAGTCCATAAATGTGCGTAAATGTTCTGGGTCTTGTCCTTAGACCCACCTGCATCGACAAGGAACTGTTCTCAAAAGACCACTGGTGAAAAAGTAAGAAACCTTGGGGATGCTTATATAGAGAGAGGGATCCGCTCCCACGCACGGAAACGCTATAAATCCAGGACTTCGGCCGGCTGTGGAAAGAGGACTGAGGCTGAAGATCCAAGGCGAGTATGGGGGTGCAGGCCACAAGTCCAGGCAGGGGCTCAGACTTAATGAGACTTTATAGCCACAAATTTGACTTTCCTAGTAATTTCTAGGATACGTTTTATTACAAACTTGACTTTTAGAGATCCCAGAAGAGGCATTCATT